TGGCCACTTAGTGAAGTAATCCATCACAACCATGAAATACTTGTTACCGCTTTCACTCTCCGGAAACGGCCCCGCCATGTCAATGGCTATTCTCTCCCATGGTGCACCAACATTGTACAACTTCAACACACCTCTACTACGAGTCTGAGGTCCCTTTACAGCCGCACAACTTGTACATTTGCGACACCAGTCCTCGACGTCGTTTCGACATTGGACCCAGTAAAACAGTTCTCGGATCTTCAGTAGAGTTCGTTTAACTCCCAGATTCACACGTTCGTTTAACTCACAGACAGATCCTGAACAATCATTATGGTACAGCTGTAGAACATCCGGTACTTTAGCTTTAGGGACAACCATTTGCAAATGACAGCTGTCTCCCCGAACGTTTTCCCATTTACGGCACAGAAGTCCATCCTGAAGCAGCAAGCTATCCCACTGGGCCCAATAGCTTTTAGTGGTCGAACTCATCGCTGATACGTCGCTCCACTTGGGCTTGGGAGCACTGGCCTTCATCCATTCCAGAATCGGTGCGATGTCCGGATCTTCCTGCTGTGCACGTTGTAAGCTGTCCTTCCACTCGTTGCTGAGGTGGTCTGCCCTGAGCATCCTCACGGATACCACTTCCTTACTCTCTTGCCTAGTACAATGTTTGCAATCTTCAGAACAAGGTCTTCTTGACAATGCATCTGCGTTGCTATGAGATTTCCCGCTGCGATGTTCGATCTCAAAGTCGTATTCTGCAGTAGTTCAATCCACCTCGCAACTTGTCCTTCTAGATTTTTAAACTGCAATAGCCATTTTAGTGCAGCATGGTCAGTTCGTAAGTGAAATTTTCACCCCAGAAGATATTTGCTAAAATGCTGCAACGACTTTACCACAGCTAGCAATTCGCGTCTTGTGACACAATAGTTCCTTTCCGGTTTTGACAAAGACTTGCTGAAGTACGCTATCACGACCTCTTGGTCACCATTCCGTTGAGACAACACACCGCCAAGTCCTATATCACTTACGTCTGTGTCAACTATAAATTCTTTGCTTGCATCAGGGTATCCCAAAATAGGTGTTTGGCACAGACGGTCCTTGAGCTCCTGGAATGCGATATTGCAACTTTCATCCCAGCAGAAATGTCGCTTCTCCTCGGTTAGCTTATGCAGAGGTTTGGCTATATCTGCAAAGTTCTTCACAAATCGCCGGTAATAGGAGCACAAACCTAAAAATGCTCTAACCTGCGTCTTGTCTTTTGGAACCGGCCAATCCTTGACAGCTACGATTTTCTCCGGATCCGTGTGGATACCTTCTTCCGACACTGCATACCCCAAAAAGTTGACTTGCCGTTTGAATAGTGAACATTTCTTCGGACTCAACTTGAGTTTTGAAGGTGTTCCTCAAACGTACGGCCCACGATGATGATGTCATCCAAGTAGACCAGACAGGCATCGCCAATTAGCCCGGTAAGTACAAGTTCCATCAGCCTTTCAAACGTTGCTGGAGCATTGCACAACCCAAACGGCATTACTTTAAATTGCCACAGACCCTTTCCTGTCGAGAACGCAGTTTTCTACTTGTCCTTAGGGTCAATTTCAACTTGCCTGTAGCCACTTTTTAGATCCAACGTGCTAAACCACTTTACTCCTGTAAGCATGTCCAGCGTGTCATCAATTCTCGGCAAAGGGATAGCTGTCCCTCTTCGTAACGTCGTTCAGACGGCGGTAGTCAAACACAAAACCGCATGCTGCCATCCTTCTTCTTTACCAGCACCACGGGTGAACACCATGGACTAGAGGAAGGTTCAATAACACCATCCTTCACCATTCCTTCAATCATGGATTCTACTTCCTTTTTTACGTGCTACCGGCAATCTTCTTGGCCGCTGACGGATAGGCAATTCTTCTCCTTTGTTTATTTTGTGTTGAAATAAGCCAGTCTTTTCTATGTCAGCATCGTTTGATGAGAATACATCGGCGTACTTGAGTAACAACTTCTTTGCCTTGACCATTTCGTTCGAGGAGAGAACGCTGCGATAGTCTTCCAAAAGTGGGGTCACTCTCGTGTGTGCATCCTTGCTGGGGGTTTCACTAGATGGATATTGGCACCGACGTAACCAATCCACTTACTCATAAGTACCAACCAGCGTGCCTTTTTCTATAATCTGTTCCCGGTCACAAAGGTTCAGCACACGTACTCCTGAGATGTCAGTGGTTCTGACCAAGGTTCGAGCTACTTTCCATGGAAGGTCATTGTTTACCCTTTCCACAAGTACACAACTAACCGGCACAATCGTTTCCGATCTCGGCGGAAGAACAATCTTCTTAATGCTGTACACGTGCCCTGATAACGCACCTTCCATAAAAAGTTCCTCCTGTCCACATTTCAAAACACCTTGCTTAATGTCGATCTCACAACAATTATCCCTCATAAAGTCTAGGCCCAGGATGCAGTCGTATCAGCCACGATGACATTATGCAGGTAGATCACGTTGCCTAGCTTCAACTCCATCTCCTTCTCTCCACGGACGGGTATACGCTGACGGTTGGCTGTTACCAAATTAATGCGTTCTCGGTTGTATGCGGAGTCCCCAATGAACGGACTTATAAGTTGGGAACTAACAACCGTACGAGAGGCTCTAGTGTCTATGGTCAGTTTACACGGCATTCCGTTGACCTCGCCCTTGATGATTAGACTGTTCCCATCATGGGTTTGTGAGATCGAGATCCTTGGGGCTCTTTTAACATCAGCCAGCACCCGCCCCGCAGTTCTGGCTTTTACTCGTTTCCCTGCTGCTGCTGGGCGGTGCTGTTGGCCGCACTACCCTCCTGAGATTGTTCAACTTCCCTTTCTAGGGTTCGCTTAGGGCAGCTGGATCGAAAATGGCCCCTTCCCCACAGCCATAGCACCTAGGGCTGTATCCTTTATTGCGGTTGCGAACTGTAGCTGCAGCCTCCCTGACGCGATGGGAACGATTATCCTGTCGCACGGCTTCCACCTCCAGTGCATGGGCCAAGGCGTCCTTAATCGTTTCGTGGTGCCCCAGCCTCACAGCAGCTCTGACTTCAAGGTCGCGGATGCCGTCGATGAATGTCTGCACCAGGTTCCCTTCAATGAGCGCAGGTACAGACCGGTATGCTTTTCGCACCAGCTTCTCCACCTCTAGAGCCCACTGCTGCAGGTTTTCATTGATGCGCTGCACGCGATCTTTAAGCTGCGAACGAAAAACGTGTTCCAGGTGAGCGTCGCCATATCTCGCCTCCAATGCCTCAAGGAGCTGCTCATAAGTCACCTCACCGAGAGCTTCCAAAACAGTTAAGGCCTGATCGCGCGGGCCGTTCGCCTTCATAACGTCGTCGTCACTTCGTCGTCACGTTCGTCGAACAGTGGCACTTTGAACCCACGTAGCGAAGGTGTTGTAACTACTACGGCAGCTGTTATTCCATCCCCCAGTTTGAGGTCGTCCAGCGTTTTCTTCACGTCAGCCATCACGTCGTCAACCCGATTGTTCACTTGGTTAATTTAGGTTTCAGCTTTCTCGATTCGGGTTTCAGCTTTCGCGATTTGGGTTTCAGCTTCTGACAGGCGGTTGTCATGCTTAACAACCCTATCCTTCACCTCCTTGATCTCCTTCCCGAAGTTAGCGTGAAGATCCTTCAAGAGGAGCATCTGCTCTTCCAACCGACGGGCCTGTTCCTCTTGTCCGTCCCGCAGCTGCTCTTCCAAACGACGGACCTATTCCTCTTGTCCACTCTGCAGCTGCTCTTTCAACTGACGGACCTGTTCCTCCTGTCGGCGAGCCCGTTCCTCCTGTCGGCGAGCCTGTTCCTCCTGTCGGCGAGCCTGTTCCTCCTGTCGGCGAGCCTGTTCCTCCTGTCGGCGAGCCTGCTCCTCCTGTCGGCGAGCCTGCTCCTCCTGCTGCTCTTTCAACAGACGGGCCTGTTCCTCACGTCCGCGCTGCAGCTGCTCCTGTATCAGAGCACCTAAGTCAGGTGCTGCACATGTAGGAGCTACTGACGGGCCCGCACCCTCCGTGGCTGGCAGTTGGCCCTCCGACTTCTGCGGCGTTGCACCACCAAATCTCCTCTGGTCCGTCTCCTGCTGGCGTTGACTTCGGCTACGGACACCCTCCGATTCCTCCTTCGGTAAAATCGGCATGATTTGATCCCACTTCTGACACCTATTGTTACGAGCTTGAGGTTCGTGACAATAAAAACTGCCGATTGAATTACCAAAATTAACACTTTAATTCACTTTACACTAATTAAAATTAAAAAACACTAATAATTAACCACACTGATTCACTTTATTTCGCCCCCGAAGCTTCGCTTGTCTCGCCAAATTCAATACTTCCCCGCTCGCATCTTGCAGCGCCTTTAAATACTCATTATCACCGAAACATCCAGAATATTCAAGTAAATACGCGCGCCAATCGACTAGGCGCCAAAATTTCAAGTGTCGGGCTTCTAGAAGCTCAGGTATTCGTTTCGATACTAGATGGCGCTGTCGATTGAAAGATTAGTGATGTCGTTTTCTGGAAAGCTCCCCTCGCTCTCGTTCCCGACACTAGATAGCGCTAGTGCCGGGTAAATGACGTCAACTTAGGCGCGCAACACTATGTTAATCGGAAATAATGTAGCTTTTCAGCAGTAAACCCCCTGTAAGTGTTCCTTAATTTGCATTGACCCGTTTTATTTCTTTACCATATATTTCTCCCTTAACGCTGGCAAAAAAGTGATTTCGAATAGCGAGTGCATCGTCCAAAAACTGACACGTGCCGCATCAGCCATCTCGTTTTGGTTTTGGGAAGCCGCGCATACATACAGTCCACCAAGAAAATCGATCCAGCATAATTAGATCGAGAATCGACCCGGTAATTGAACCCGAGACCCCAATCACTGCACTATTTTTTGTCATTTGCGCGACCAGTTATAATACTATATTCCCCTATAAGACCCTTGTTCAGACTAACAGACTGATGAAGGATCGTTTACGGAAGAAAAACATAACATTACCTTTCTGCTTGTATATGTGTAACAATATCGGCCTCAGCCCGGCTAAGTTCGGCACCCATTCGATCAAACCGCACTCTTCATTAAGAGGCAGCACACTATAAGTCCTGATGTACAGCCGTCGACGTCTAGTTTCCGGTGCGTCTTGCAAAAATCGGTTCACGACTCCGTTAAATTCCATTAGACGGTAGTCTTTGCGTAGATCGTCACGAGATTTCAAAAGTATTATGTAGGACTTTCCATCGGAACCTGAGCATATAAAATAATAGGTACATTCATGTCAATTGAAATGGTATGGGAGTACGAGAAGTGATGTTCTAGATAATCGTTAGTAATCTTGTACATGAATTAAAAATGTGATTTAACCGAAAACCGACTAAGTTTCAAGAGACCACTAAAGGCTCATTTACCATGTAGTAATTTATTAGTGGGTTTCAACTACCCCAACTAAATAAACTTGTTTTCGGATCTGGATGAGCCATGATAGTCCCAGTGTTTTTTACACTTCAAGTATGTGTTATTTTAACTCCTTCCTCCTAGCATAAGCGTTATCTTCTTCGCATCTTTTGACAACAACTAAAATACCGCGGTTGCCAGTCCGCCTGCCAAGCGTGGCAGCTATGGTAAATATCAATCACCCTTATGAAGCATTCTATGTAGGAGGGCTATGTTCATAGCCCATCTTCAGCGGTAGATTGTGGCTGTGGTAGGTTCATAACAGACTGTTTACCAGCGGTGACGAGAGATATTGCTTGTTCACTCAAGAAACTAAAATGTCTTGTTCAATTAATACCTCCCTGAAGGATTAATAAATGGGCGAATCGGTCTTAAAATCGACTAGTAATTTTATCTTTATACAGTTATGGTGTTTTTTATTATAGAATTGGGTGACAAACACGCATAGTCCACCTAAAGGTAAGTTAATGCTGTGGCCCATAGACATCTATATTTGTTCCGATTAAGAGTCATAATGCTGATCCGTTGTCACTTCTGAGGACTAGGAGGAAATGCCTCGAATCCAGTAAAAATGGTCTCTGTTTTTCTACACCTGCGCTTGCGCATATACACTTGGGCACTAATCCTGTCTAGCGCCGATGGCTAGTCTCCGTTGAGGCTGGCCGCTGTGACCGAAATTCGTCTGGAGGACATTCTTAAAGTACCATAACATGTTTCGTTAATACATGTTAGAGCCACGCTGGAGCTATATATTATAATAGTAACAAGAATGGCTCGGCTCGACCGGGAAAGGACCACGCTGTCACAGAATACCAGCGTAAAATTGCAGCTTAATGCTGCTGTGCTTCGTATGATGACCCTTTTTTACTGGAAACGAGGCATTCCATCTAAGTCCTCAGGGGTGATCACGCATCTGCGTTTTGATTCTTAATCGAGAATAAATGTAGATATCTATGGGTCACAGCATTCACTTATCATCAGGTGGAATGTGTGTGCGTTTGTCCCCCTATTATATAAAAAAAGGTATCAGTAATCGAAATGTAGGACGGCGGTAACAAAATCAATTAATATTTCGTACTGATTTGTTCACTTCCTTTTCATACAGTATTAATTTTTTTTTACTTTCCGCACACGACGCACCTCTACATTCAACAATAGTGTTATTCAGGCAGTTTCTTTGGTACAAACACCAAGAAACATTCATGTTGCTCGCTATACGCGATATAAATTTAAGGCAAATAATACAAATAATAACCGCTTGCCAGGCGTGGCGACTGACATATATCCTCCCAGTGGGGCAATCTATGGGGGAGGCCTATATGTTCAGGAGTATTATTAATTATTTAAGAGATATACATATTTAAATACTAACATCAATTTTTGAAATACAAGCTGTATGATTATGAAATGACCTGCCGTTATCATCAGCAAGACACGCTCAATCCCTACCGGTTTTTAAGAAACATGTCATCATCATCATCATCATCATCATCATCACAGCCCTTCACAAATCCACTGCTGAACATGGGCCTCCTCCAAGGTATGCCACAAAGCTCGAAGAACCGACAACGTTGGGGAAAAAAGGTTATCGAGTGGCAGCCTCGTACCGGTAGGCGAAGTGTAGGGCGACCCACCACTAGATGGAGTGACAACCTGGTAAGACATGCAGGAAGTCGATGGATGCAGGTGGCTCACCGTGCTTTGTGGCATAACTTTGGGGAAGAAACATGTACATAATTATTATTTTCAACTTTGATTCTATCAAATTCATATGTATATAATTATTCTACCTTTATCTAGCTACACTATTTGTTTATGTATGTATTTTGATTGATGAGATTTGATTCAGTCAACGAGCAAACTCGAACCCTTGAAAAGTTATTTATCAATTTACCTTTTAATGTCACCTTTCTAGGCTTCTGTAATGAAGGCAATATCTGAATTTTCTCCTCTATGCCAGCAATGTACACTGAAGGTTCTTTGGGTATGTTGAAATCGATGCGCTCTTGTCGCGCCGCCTTGGACGGCAGGACAATTTTACAGAACTCTTGAAAAGGTATCATTATGTGGCTAAAATTGTCGCCCGCTAATAGCCTTGGTAAAGTTCGGACCAGTGATGAAACTGTCGGATTCTACAGAACAAAATAAGCGACTAAATATAATGTAGAAATAAGCCAAAGTAGTGCATGCACTTTTGTGTGCAGCACATACACAATACATGTGGGGCGGCTCTTTAATACGAGGCAACGGCGTGTTATTTTCTACGTGGTAGAGCCATGCTGCAGCTATATTGTGGTTGTATCACGAATGGGTCGGCTCGACCGGGGTAGGACCACGATCTCACAGAATACCAGCGTAAAATACCAGGTTAATACTGCTGTGTTTCGTATGGTGAGTGTAGAGAACCGGAGACCCTTTTTACTGGAAACGAGGCATTCCAACTCAGTCCTCAGGGCTGGCAACGCAGCTACATATTGATTCGTAATCGAGGATAAATGTAGATTTGTAAGTGCCGCATCCATTTACTATCAGGTGGACTGTGTGCTCGTTTGTCACCCTTATTCTATTAAAAAAGCGTCCTCTTTTTCTTCTTTCTCTTCATCAGGCAGTAAAATTCCATGGCTGGATACGGCCTTTTCTGTTACAGAAAAGATTTGCCTTAATCGTGCAGGTGGAATGGCGATCGCAGGTCCAGAATCCTCGCACCTTCGAGCGCCAAAATGCTTTATACAATTTTAAACGCTATAGAAATCTATATATATACCGCGTGCTCGGCAATAAAGGAAAACATCATGAGGAAACCTGCATGTCTGAGAAATAAGAAAAAAAATTTCAAAGACATGTGAAGTTCGCCAACACGCATTGGGGCTGCGCAACGGACACTTTCTTGCCCGAAAACTCTCTCAGTTATGAAAGGAGGTCTGTGCCCAGCAGTGGGATGTATAGAGGCTGTAACTTTAACTTTAGAATACTATAAAAATGATTGGAAATTACACATCTCAACGTTAAGCCTCATGATTTGTGGCTGATTTCATTCACTTTTCTGATTTCTAATAGCATTTATTAGCCCCACCGGGTACTTTACGTCTGGTGTAAGCAAGATGGTTATACCGTCATCTATAGGAAGCCATGAGATCGTTCTGACATACCCCATAGTCACCCTCTTACGATACCCCCGGGACGAAAGGGGATGATGGGTTCTCTTACGCTGCTACCACACGGCATATTTTGCTATCAGTATACATGATTGTTGTAAGTATACCCAGCCTACATGTGTAAGCTAGGGAAGAAGTTATTACAAGGGCTGCACTAAAAGTATCGGGAATGGAATATTTCCACTGTTCTTGTCATATTAAAATCTTTTTAATTGAAAACTCCTTGGTTTTAAAAATCGAATACCATTTATTCATTTAAAAAAAGATTCTCGGTCTTGTCACAAGGTTTTGTCAAACTCGTTAGTCGTTGAGAAAATGGAATTGACTCGAGAAAATTCAAGAGCGATGATTTACTATGACTTTCGAAGCGATTTAACACAAAAACAGTCTGTTGACCGGATGATTTCTGCATTTGGTGATGAAGCCCCATCCAAAACCACAATTTATCGCTGGTTTGCTGAATTTCAACGTGGACGTGTCAAGCTCAGTGACGATCCCCGTCAAGGTCGTCCAAAAACTGCAGTCACCCAAGAAAACGTTGATGCTGTGCGTAAGCTGATTGAGGAAGATCGACATGTGACATACCGCGAAATTCAGGCAACTTTAGACATTGGCATGAGTCAAATACAAATAATCTTGCATGAACAATTACGGGTAAAAAAGTTGTTTTCCCGATGGATACCGCATTCGCTCTGTGAAGAGCGAACCAGAAACAAAAACCCACGATAAAGAACCACAAATGCCAAAAAAAGGGCCCACCGCCCGAAAAAGAGAGGGGGGTACACCAAAAAAAAACCCCCCCCCCCCCCCCCGGCCCACCCACAAAAAAAAAAAAAAAAAAAAAACCACCCCCCGCCCCCCCCCCCCCCCAACCCAAAATAAAGAATAAATTGCGTGGACAGAGATTTTCATCACCTGAAGAAGCTGTGGACGCCTACAAAACGGCCATTTTGGAGACCCCAACTTACGAATGGAAAGGTTGCTTCAATGATTGGTTCCATCGTATGGAAAAATGTGTCAAATTTCCCGGAGAATACTTCGAAAAGCAATAAATACATTTTTAAATAGTAATGTGTCACTTCCTTGATTCCCGAAATTTTCAGTGCCGCCTTCGTAAATACATTAATAGTATTAATGGTATAATTCCTTTTACAAAAAAGTCCCACTACCTTTCTGGCTGGTTCTTCCCAGTACAGAGGTTTTTTTTTCCGAACCAGTGGTATAAGTAAAAAAATTCTTTCAATAAGAATTACCTGTAGTGTCATCACAATATAAACATTTCGAATATTTATGTAAAGTTACATTTTGAATCATGTGTTAATGTTATAGCCTATTTACGTCCCACTGCTGGGCACAGGCCTTCTCTCATTTCTGAGAGGATTTTAGGGCAAAGAAGTGTCCGCCGCGCTGCCCCAATGCGTATTGGCGAACTTTACTTTTTGTTTCTCAGACATGGCGGTTTCCTTACGATGTTTTCCTTTACCGCCGAGTACTTAAAATTGCAATTAACAACTTCATTGGTGCCTGCGAGGATCGAATCCGCGTTGCTCGCGTAAGGTAACCATCGGAACTACCACGTCTCCCATTTGAATCATGCTTATACCTTATCTAAAATTTACCAGATAAAGTTCTTTCCTTCCTCAACGTTTTGCAAAAACAGTAATATTAATACAAAAAAAGTGTTTTGTTCTTTAACTAAGAATAATCTTCGAAAATTCGTCAACGCGATTTTATTTTTATCGGACGAATACGACTTGGGGTCCTTCAAGAAAAGAACCTACTCTTTTTTAAAAGGCCGGCAACGTATCTGCAATTCCTTTGGTTGCAGTTCTTCATGGGCGGCGGTAGTCACTTACCATCTGATGAGCCGCACGATTGTTTGCCCAATTTTATACTAAAAAAAATTATTAATATCTGGAGAAACTTACCGCAGTATTGGCAGCAAGAGGCTTATTACACAGATCTATCAACTTTTCAGCGAACTGAGTGAAATCGCTCACAAGCTTCAACATATGAGGTTCTTTAAGTCGCGGGTCTGCAAACACGTCCGTGCAACGTTTGATGCGTTGAGGATAGCTTGATTTAATCACACACATCATCATCCACAAAGTGTGTTGCGGGTACGCCATTATCAATTTCACTATAATTGCTTTTAATTGAAGATAAACCTGGTAAAATATATAAATTTAGTTATTAAAACAGTAATGTACTTTTTATAGAAGTACCCGATGGAAAGTGGATGCTGTGTCATGTATGAAATACAGATTTAACAATTATCTATAATATAATACATTTTATAGTAATATCGGAGTGAATGAGACGGAGTACAAGTGTCTCGCAACCTACGCACAAAAGCGCGGGTTTTATTTATGTACCATACAGAGAAATAACGCGATGCCCGCGTCAATATTACTTATTATCGCATCATTTTCGCACTCTTGTTCACTCTGGTACTATCTACTACCAACCTAAGTGGTACAACGACTGACAAGTAAGAAAACGTCTTAAGAGATTGAATAACATAACACAAAATTTTCGATTCGAAAAGCGTGAACATTTTTTACCCTACATTTTCGGTCGCGCCATTCGTTACAATCATGGCATGTTTTAGCGTACAATATTGTTTACGTTGGTATTATTATTATTATTATTGTTTATTGATAACCTGGGGATTAAAGAAGTGTCCTAAATAAAGAAGTCCCTTAGGCACACCGCCCCATACTTTTCAAAATTTAAGATTTACTGTTAAATTCCATACTTTACATTTTAATTCGCATAATTTCCGCGATACTTCTTTTGAAAAGACTCTAGTTTAAACCTAAAACCATTTAAACTAACTTTTGTAATAAGTCGGTAATTTTAAAAAGATATCTATACAAGATAATAGTTAGAATGTACTCAAACTATGCAGACTAAACAAAATAAAAAAATGTATAGATTTTATATTCATTATATAAAGACGATGCTAAGCAACCTGCATCCATCCTACATCCCTGCATCTCTTACCAGGTTGTCACTCTATGTAGTACACATCGCTTGCAGTAAGAAGCTACAAACCGAGAACGTTTTTGCCATATCGATTATCAGTTCTTTAATGTTATATCACCCATTGCAAATTCAGCATACTAATCTGCTAGGCTATATCAACTACTCTTGTTGTTGTGTGAATATATTATCACGTAGTTTTTATTTTTTATTTTATAGAATTAGGGTGACAAATGACTACACAGTCCACCTGATGGTAAGTGAATGCTGTGGCCCATAGACATCTACATCTATCCTCGATTACGAATCAAAATGCAGATGCGTTGTCACCCCTGAGGACTAAGACGGATTGCCTCGATTCCAGTAAAACGGGTCTCCAGTTCTCTACACTCACCATACCAAACACAGCGGCATCAAGCTGCTATTTTACGCTGGTATTCTGTGAGAGCGTAGTCCTTCCCCGGTCGAGCCGACCCTTTCGTGCTACAACCTATACTGCAGCCAACCTACACCTATAGTTGCACCGTCGCTTTACCACGTAAAACTCAGCCAGCTCGCAGAGTGACTGATCTTCACCAAACAGCCAGTGAAGGTCCACATTTAGGAGGAAATAATAAAGTTTTTAAAAGCCGAAATAAACGAGGTCTAATTATCTTCCGCTCACAGATGTTGCTAGTTGACACTAAGGTGAAGTTATCTGTTAACAATATCATCATATTTTTCTGACTTATGTAATACCTCAGCGGTATGATCTTTAATCATTTGCATTGATTTTGAACTCTCTTTTTAGTTTTATACTTTTAGGAATGGATATCCGCAGTTTGGTTTATCCATTTCTAATCTAAGTAATATAATATATTAATTCATATTTCAGAAAGAAGTATAAACCCTTATATTTTCCTAATAAATTAACGTCCCCCGCCATGAAATTTATCAAAATATTTATCACCTCATTCCTAGAAGTGAGCCGTGGTAGCACAGATGGTTAACGCTCGCTGTAAATATAAAAGAACGCGAGTAACCCGGGTTTGATCCCCGCCGGCACCAATGAAATTGTTAATTGCAATTTTAAGTGCTGATTTACCACGTGCTCGGCGGTGAAGGAAAACATCGTGAGGAAACCTGCATGTCTGAGGAATAAGAAAAAAATTATTTCGAAGACATGTGAAGTTCGCCAACACGCATTGAGGCAGCGCGGCGGACACTTCCTTGCCCTAAAACCCTCTCAGAAATTAGGGGAGGCCTATGCTCAGCAGTGGGACGTATATAGGCTGTAACTTTCCTAAGAAGTAAAACTTCGTAGATGCCATAGAAATCATAATTGATGTAAACACCAACATTACCTCCTTGACCGGATGACAAATTCTGGACACTATTTGAGAGAATGCTGTCAGGTATAAGTAGATAGGCAATCTTTCGGAATAAGTCTTTACGATCTCAGTCATTTGCGCTAACACTGAATGGATGCTCGTATCCGCTGATGTTACTTCTACGTCCAACCTTTGAAATTTATAAAACACACTATAGTAATGAAAAAATTAACTTTAAAAATTAAACATAAATTTATAATTAAGTAAATCATATTTACCAAATAGACAACATCCTTGGCATGCTCTGATATAAGTATTTATGTCCATACTGCAAAGCTTTCCCATATGAATTGAGAGCATACACCCGTCGGGACCAAGTCAGGTTATTGGGTGGCACATCACCACTACATACTTTCTCGTAGTACGCACCCAGACATACCTACACATACAAGCATTTTGATGTATGTCATTGAAAAACCATTCAACATGATCTTATTAGAGACTTATAAGAATATAAACACAATTACCATTCCCACAATAGATAAGTCAAAATGTTATTTTTTCTTATAAATCACCAAAACTTGTTATATCCAGGCTAGGATCATGATCAGTTATGTAACGAATTTACTGACGAAATATCAAAAGCAGTTAATAAAGGGTTACGTCGACGTCATTTATTTAGACTTTTCAATAGTATTCGACAAAGTTTGTTACACCATCCTATTGCACAAAAACGCGTACTATGGCGTACAGCGTGGTACGGTTTTTCGGATACTTTACTAAAATGATTCAAAGTCACTTACATAAACGAACTGGACAAGATGCAATACAGGGCTTTTAATCTCATAGAGATACAAAGCTAAATCTGGTGAACAACAAAATCACATCAGGGACCATGGTTGATTAATGTCTTTATAAATGACATAATATGCGATCGACTAAAGTATTGTAACATATTTCTATTTGCTAATGAGATGTCAAATTAATCCGAAGATTTCATAGGCATTATGATATAATCTTGTCACAAAATAATCAGGTGTTAAGAAAGCTTTGGATCTGTTATTTTCCCTATCAAAACGTGGGCAAACACAAGCAGTTGCTCTACAAATTAGTAAAGGTCAAAACTGGCTGTCAAGCCTGCTAAAAAACCGGCCAAGAGCGTGTCGGGCCACGCTCAGTGTAGGGTTCCGTAGTTTTCCGTCCGTCACAATAAGTGTTCCCACTTATGAGTTTAAAGGTGGGTATCCATTATGTTCGCGCTCCAGCAGCGCTCCGCGCTCCTGCAACTGCTCCCGGTAGTGGGTACTGTTGTTTCCATCCAAGTTCAAAATGATTTTCCTAGAAAGTCCTCATAAAGTTCTACTTTTCAGATTTTTTTCATATTTTCTAAACTTATGGTTCAATAGTTAGAAGGGGGGGACACATTGTTTTTTACTTTTGGAGCGATTATTTCCAAAATTATTGACATTATCAAAAAAATGATTTGAGTAAACCCCTATTCATTTTTAAATACCTTTCCGACAATATATCACACGTTAGGGTTGAAATTAAAAAAAAAATCACTTCCCACTTTACATATAGGGGGGCTACCCTAATAAAACATTTTTTCCAATTTTTATTTTACCACTTTGTCGGCGTGATTGATACACATATTGGTACCAAATTTCAGCTTTCTAGTGCTAACGGTCACAGAGATTAAGCGAGGACGGACAGACTGACAGACAGACATGGCGAAACTATAAGGGTTCCTAGTTGACTTCGGAACCCCAAAAATCCGGGTTCCGTTGAAGTATTCTAGACCCCTAGTTCATTTATTCCATACTCCTAAATTTAAAACTAATTTGTACCAAAACTTATCCATACATAGGATTTGCCTTTTATGCAGTTGTGGTTGGGCGTAGATATTTACATAATTGTGTAAAAAAAAAACTCGTCGCTCACTCAGCGGCCAGTCGCCGTAGAGTCTACATTACCTGAGGATGCCTCGTGTAGAGGCGAAACACGTGTCGTATTGTCGTCAATGGTGTGTCTTACCTGGAATAGTGGTGACGGAGTTAGTGCATGCAATTGAGGGAGGGCGGGAGGTGCTCTTCAATCCAGGTAAGACACATCATTGTATTTAGTTAGCGGAAGGTTGCAAAGTAATAATTTTTTTATTATAATGGATTTCCGCAAAGTAACGCCTGAATCCATCAAATATTTACATAATTAGTAATAGACCTAGAGAATTTTTAAAAAATATTCCTTTTTCTTTGTAAAACGTAAAAAATTTGATACAAAATATTGCTTATTGGTAAAGATTTGCGATATGTTCTATTTTGGTATGGCACTGATTTTTAATTTCCATTCTTGTATTATTATTGTCAGAATTTTTTTAATGTTGTGACGTTAATTATATTTTATCTTTACCTTTGTGTTGAAATAATATTGTATACTGATTTCTGGACGTGTAGATTGTAGAATATCCGCTATCCCATATCATCCCGTGGGTGTCGTAAGAGATGACGGGGGAAACAAATCAGAAGATGGGCAGCAGCGTCTTCCTAATGATGAATAAAAATAAAAAAACTGCGGTTACCAAACTCGCTCGCCAAGCGTGGCTACTTTGACAAATATCCTCCTATGAGGCAATCTATGGGGGAAGCCTATGTTAAGCAGTGGCTTTGGGCATTTATTTCAACACACTTGTTATTAAAAAAAAATTGCATATCCTTTCAATATTTTTTAGATTACTCACCAAACTTTTTTCCCATTGCTTGAACACCTCCACTGACTCCGTATAGTAACCGATGTTCACGTCGACATCAACGTTTGTAGTTTCATCATTATATTTAGCTATTAACAGTTTTGCCTTGGCACATATTTTTCTACAACAACAAAAAAAAATAGATTGATAATTCCTAGAAATACAATCCATCTCATATCAGGAAACATCCGAGTAGTAAGTTAACTAACTAAATTTATAATTGCAATTTTTCGTGCTAAATAACAAGCTTACCACGTGGCTCGGCGGAGAAGGAATTTATAGTGAGAAAATGTCAATGCCTGAGTTTTTTTTAATATTTCTAACGCGATTTGGCCGAGCAAGGACAAAAGAACTCCCGCCGGACAAAGTGCTCGACACGGGGAGCGGACAAGGCTCCAAGTTGTTGGATAGCGTGATTTTATGGCGATGGTAAGTTATGGCGTTCAAACACGCTTGAGACTACAGTACCGCTACAATACATTTGGGCAACGTGTAATCTTCGAAATGAGAGAAATCTTACGACCAGCAGTATGACATATGTAGGCTATTCACATTTTAAATGCTAGTAGTCGCTACTTTATATAATGTCCTCCAGACCGAATTTCGGTCACGGCAACCAGCCTCAACGGAGACTAGCCATCGACGCAGGACAGGATTAGAGTGCCTAAGTGTATTCGCAAGCACAGATGCACTCTCTGTTCCTTCACTCTCATAACCCGATCGGTCGATAAACCGACACGATCAGAGAGAGATCAGGCGCAGGACCAACAACTTTACGTGCTTTCCGAGGCACGGGGTGAGATACCGCCAACTTCCTAACTCCGGGCAGCTACTGAGAATTTCTTAAGGGAAAAATTCAATAAATGATGTTTTCGGCTCGACCCAGGATTCGAACCCGGTACCTCATGATCCGCAGTTGCTCAATCTCTATTACAAAATGCAAAGTATTACAAAATGCAATGTAGGAAGGCACTTTTAGGCTCAGGTTCAAAATGTGTTAATTGTAGCCTATTTTTGTAGATTTCAAATTGCTCAATTTCCAAATTGATAGAACTATATATATAATACATAGTTATATAGTTTATAACTACATATACAACACGTAATATAATTAACGCACTTTGAGAAAGTAGTTTGTTCAGAACCGTTTACTGAATCGATTCCTATCATTTTTAATATAGGATAATTTTTATCCCAAAAACAATTTAAACTACGTAAATTACAGTCACACTAAATCTGTACAGTCAAAACAAACTGAGATGGACCGTAGCTTAATGCAATAAGACTTTTAAGAGTGCAGTTTTATTTGTATTATTACTAATTCTGTCATTCAATAAAAATAAAGAAAAATGAACTTTATTTCCAGCATGTTAAAGTCTTTGCGTTCGTGGATTTGTACTGTGACCACAACATTCTTCCGGAATTAGTATAACTAATTTGATAAATAATCAATGCATAAAAATATTTAACTAAAATTCAGTGTATATATTATGATTATAATTTACTAATTGGGGTGTCTGAGGGTGTGCGTTAATTACGTTACATATTGTATATTACAATGGAATGTAAAAAAATGTCTTGGATTTGTATATAAAATACGAAGAACTATTTCTCAGACCGTATATGGATTGGTTTTTTTTTTTGTTTTTTTTTTCCTTAATTTGCAGTTCAAATGATTTTTTTACTATTCTCAATCAACGTTTGACTACTATCGCACCTGATAGTAAGTGGTAATGCAGCCAAAGTGCACTGACCTCTTGCCTTGAAGACATCAATCTTGCATCAATCGACTTCCTGCATGTCTTACCAGGTCGTCACTCCATCTAGCGAGGGGTCGCCCTACACTTCGCCTACCGGTACGAGGCTGCCACTCAAGAACCTTTTTTCCCCAACGGTTGTCGGTTCTTCGAGCTATATGGCCTAAATGCTAAATTGCTTAGTTTGATATAATTACAAATAAATTCCAAAAAAAATAACTTACTTTAGATGTTTTTTTTTTGTTTTTAATTCTGTAATATGATGCATATTACTATCCCATTTGTAGCTTTTTTGCTTTGAATGTATTTGTTGCAACCGGATGGTTTATTCAACGGCAGGTTAGCCTACATAGTTAAGCGCCGGCATGCAATTGAATACAGGAAATGTAAGAACAAAGCATTGACCAAGTGGTTGTTGCTAGCATTAATATATAATATAGTAATTGACTGATAACTGCCTCGTTGGTCTAGTGGTTGTAGTAGTGCGACTGCTGATCATGAGGTCTTGGGTTCGAATCCCGGGTCGAGCCAAAAAAATCAACTATCGAGTTTTTCCGTCAAGAAATTCTCAGTAGCTGTCCGTAGTCAGGAAGTTGGCGGTGTCTCACCCCCGTGCCTCGAAAAGCACGTAAAGCCGTTGGTCCTGCGCCTGATCTCTCTCCGGTTGTGAGGATGAAAGAGTGAGGGAATAGAGAATGCACCTGTGCTTGCGCATACACTTGGGCACTATAATCCTGTCCTGCGCCGATGGCTAGCCTTCGTTGAGGCAGGCCGCCGTAGCCGAAATTCGGTCCGGAGGACATTATTAATATATAATAATAACTACTATCAAACCTTTGTTCTTGTGTGAGCTTTTCTATCTGCGGGTAGGCTTCGTCCAGTCCACGTCGCAGTGTTGTGAAAGCGTGCTCTTGTTGCCCTCGAGCCCAATACATCCTTGCTTTCTCTATAAATAACTCTTCCGGTGTATATTCCTCCGCATTCAGTATATACATGTACGACTGAAAGAATATTATAAAGTAAAATCATGTCTTCTAATAAAAACGGAAAAAACATAAAAACGGAAAAAACGTCTTAAAAATGACTTTATTAATAAATATTATTCTATAGATCATCTAATTTCAAACTGCACGCGCTTATATTTTTGGTTCATTTTGTCACATTTACCTAATTAAGTAACAAAAAATCTAAATCTGCGCGCCTATTCTATTGTGTTTAGTAGGTTGTAGTTTTTTTACGTTTTTATTAAGGTCACTTTATTTTTTGACCATCTGTCTGTCTGTCGCCGTGTGCCGTTTAGGGTGGAATTTAGAAATTGATTTTAAACTAACTTCTCGATGAGCTGGAAACTTGAAATTTTGTTAATATTATATAAAAACATGTTATGTCTAAGAAATTTTTTTTCAAATTCTAAAGGTTACCATTATTTATAGAAACAAAAGCCGTATATTAATTAGGAACCATATTTAAACTGAGCGACGTACTATGTCATGTAACCTAATTGCCCATCTGCTTTTCAAGTGTAGACGATTACGTGGTCTTCCCAATTAGGAAAAGCCTATTTTCAGTATATTGTATGGAGACTGATGAAAAAGCTTTTATTATTTTATTATAAAAGGATTATTATAAAGGAAAAGTGATGTATGAATTAAAAATAAATAATATAAATAAATAAAGCTACGTGATAATCAGTATTTAAAATATTGAAAACTGTTTTGGCATGATAGCTTTACGAAATAGCATTAGAAAAGGGTGATTTACTTGTAGAGATAAGACTCCCAAGTGATAGCCTAGTACTGGTAAGTAAAGCGAAATTACAGACACACAGTAGCTTATTGGTAGGATGAAGACCGTACTTAAAAGTCGTGGGCTCAAACTCGTCATTCAATTACTCTCGAACTACTCCTAACACAAATAATTTAGGCTTACCAGGAGTGGTTAATGTATAGCAATGTTAATTTCATATAAAAAAAATATGTAGATCTGGCTGTACTACATATTTTTTTATATGAAATATATGATAAAATAGATATATATGACAACCTGGTAAGAGATACAGGAAGTCGATGGATGCAGGTGGCTCAGGACACCATGCTTTGTGGCATACCTTGATGAAGGCCTATGTTCCAGTTAACTCGTTATAGGCTGTAACGATGAAGATAATTCGTAAAGATAGTTCGAAAATAATTAACAAATGGTAAATATAAAAATTTTGCAACAAACATCATCAATGTAGTTCAACGTTAATTAAATACGCATTATTAAAAATAACTCAAAAACTACTAACAAGATTTTGATCAAATTTATATGGGACCACAGGAGAAGCACCAGCCTTCAAATAAAAAAAACGAGTCATCAAAATCGGTTTACCTAGAAAAAATTTCTGAAGTAACACATAAAAAAACATACAGTCAATCAAGTAAGTCCCCCTTTTTGAAGTCGGTTAAAATAAAGAGGCTACTATAATATGATGACGAGGCTTACTTACCTGCTGAAAAATTCCCGCCTTTCTAGCCTGCTTAGCGCTTTGCAACCATAGATCACCAATGCAAGCTTTCAAACGATTCGAGGTCATAGGATGCGTCGGTTCCAACAGTTCCTAAAATATACCATCGAAATTAAGTTTTAACATCTTAGGGGTTTTAATTCGACTCCACCAGTACCACTAGACCTAAATTCCTGCTTTAAAAATTTAAAAATCGCTTCAAATAAGCACACTGATGGCAAGCCTATGGGTAGGTACATCCACTAGCTACTACTACTACTAGCCTAATGGCAGGGCGCAGGCCGCGAACTCAAAAAGGTCGTGGGTTCGAATCCGCCATTCGACTACTGGCGTGAACCACTCGTACACAAGCAATTTAAGCTTACCACGAGTGGTTAAGGGGAATATTAGTAATTTTTATAGCATTGTTAATATTCTTTAAATATATATATATATATATATATATATATATATATATATATATATATATATATATATATATATATATTCCGGCTTTATTCACCTACTATACAAATCACAGCAGCAATATGCTGTTATTTTAAGCTGATTTTCTGTGCAGGCGTGGTCTTTCCCCGTTAAAGTCAACTTTGTACCCGCATAGTCTGATATCGTAAATTTACCGTGTAAAAACATTTGTTATATGTGCTTCAGGGGTACAAACATTTACTATCGCATTTGTTTTCATAGGTGTTGTAAAATTCGATTAAGATAAAAGAAACCTCACAGCCTCCAGGAGTTTCACAGCCTCCAAGAAATTTAACGTGTTGTTCGCCTCATGGCATCATTGTCGTTCAATCAATTTTTTTATAGAATAAGGGTGACAAACGAGCACACAGTCCACCTGATGGTAAGTGGATGCTGTGCCCGATAGACATCTACATTTATCCTCGATTAAGAATCAAAACGCAGATGCGTTATCACTTATCACCCATGAGGTCTAAGATGTAATGCCTCCTTTCCAGTATAAAAGGGTCTCCAGTCGGTCTCCTCTCTCTCAACACTCATCATACAAAACACAGTAGTAAGCTGCTATTTTACGCTGGTATTCAGTGAGAATGGGATTAAATCTCCCATTCAATCAAATCGAAAAAAAATCAAACCAAAATATATCTTCTATAATAAATTAAATTATTAAATTAAGTTGAAATTTCGTTAACCTTGTAGTAGCAATGTAAGAATATGCGTCGCGTATCGCCCCGTGAGTGTCGTCACAAGCTACAGAGGGAAACAAACCAAGGAAGATAGGTAGCCGTGTCTTTCCCAATAACAATCCGGCAACAAGCGTAACAACTATATCAAACATCCAAACTATGAGTGGTGGTATACTGACATAGGCTGTCTTGTTGGTGATGAAGAAAATTTATTTTACCGAACATCTTTTTTAACCCTAATATCGTTTCAAAATAAAGTTCCTTCAACAAATAATGAAACACCGCACATATCCTCTTTTTGTCATATTTGAATGTTCTCTATAACAAAAAATTGAAAAAATTACAAACCCATTGATAAAGCATGCTAGCTGAACTAAGACACACACTAATTTCCATAACATATATTTAACCTGTTAACCAAGCCATGCGCACTTTTGATCGTACAATATCATCCTTCCGTTTGCCAAGTAGTGCGCTAATTAGATCAGAATTATGTAAACGTGTGTACCTATGAAAAAACTATTTCTTCGTTTTAAACAAAACCAAAGACACTATGCAATAGATAATAGTATCAAAGACAAAGATATGCTCTTTTATTTTAAACCATAACCTGGCAATGTTTCTTAGAAAAAAAAAAAAGAAATCACTGAACTTTCGGCGTTCCACGTGTCGTTTTGATGAAGGTGCTCCGTCTTTTTTATAGAATTTTATTTTTGTGTATGGACTAAAAACGAAAGTATTATACTTTTTTATATTTCTTGTAATATAGTAAACACGTAGATATATAACTTGTGGTATAAAAAGTGAAAAGTAAATTGCCAAAAGTACTTCAAAATCCGGAAGCTCCATTTTGGCGGTTGGGTCATAAATGTGTTATTTTCCAAATTCTCATTTATTTTTAGTGTAAAATGTAAGTAAAAATAGTTTTCTTACATATTTCAAATAACTTGACGTTGTATTTATTTCAAATTCACACAAAAATATGTTTGAAATATTGTTCGAAATGCCATACAGATAAAATATTATTATTATAATTTTTTTTTATTTTTTAATATTTTAATATTTTGGTATGAGTAACGAATGGAAACACATAAAACATAAAAATATACATATTTCCAAACATTTTCATATAAATTTCTCTAAAAACAAAAGTGTAGAATTCAAATTAGTAGTAATTTTGTCACTAAAATTGAAGTATATACTACTACTATGCTATACAGGGTAATTTACGTATTTTATTACAATTTCTAGCAACCAAAAATAATTTTATTCGATAGTTTATACATTCAACAAGAATTCCTGTAAGTTTTATCCATAAATATTGTCTCAAAGTGAAAATATAGCAAAATTTGCAATATAGCAAAAAATTTGCTAATTTGCAAATTTTCCCGCCATTACGGTCCCGAGCGAACGGGAGTATAACATGTCGCGCGCTCGCTTGGCGAACAGGTGTACATTACCTGTGTTTGCTGCAATAATATTCTCCTGAGTCTCAGCAAAGGCTCGATTGTCCTCACGTCTGATTGTACGACAGAGAGTCTTCGACGCCACTCGTCCAGCAATTGATTTAAGATTGCTTCGCCTTGGCTATCACCATCATTTAAATCTTTTAGCCTAGAACGTAATATAAATGTGTTACAACCGTAAATATTTCATCCTAATAATTCTGTACCGCATAACTGTTATGAGAAATGTTAAAATATCATATTATCAACCGTCTCATATATTTCTGCTTATAAGTTTATAGAAGTCTATGTGGTATATATTCGAAGACGAAAGGATGCAGACTAAAAGCAAGATGCCAGACATATTGTAATGGTCACAAAAAAAATTATTTTAGGACCGGTATCGTCAATAAATCCAGGTCAAAGAATGAATTCAGGGTTCAAATCCAAGGATTTAATACTGCTACGAGAGATCGTAACTACCATTCGTTATTGTACCACTAGCGATTAGAAATATAAAGACATAAGATTATAAAAATACAGGTTATTTTTTCCTTTCGGAGAAGTATTCACGTGCTGCTACCACACAACTTCTCCACCATCATCATCATTCCTCTCCCTCACCCTATACCACCAAACCATGAGGTCGGCTTACTGTTAGCTGATATGTTAATCTTCTCTCCTTACCTTCTCAAAACTTCTTCAACATGTTCCGCTTCTTTTACTATATGTAATCCGAGAACACTCTGATAGCCACTGCGTAAGGCGCTTTCACCTCTACTTTTGCCGTCCATTTGCGACAGTAGTCTGTTTGTTGCTTCTTTACAAGACGCTATAAAGGCTTCGTGGTCCTGTTTACGGTACGACAGAAGGATACGACCCATAAGAAGGCCCCAGTTCTCACGGGATGATGGCTGAAATGTTATAAAACTTTGTTGAATTAAAAACACAAAAAAGGTAAAAGGGAAAATCTTAAAATATTCCAACCTTAACAAAAGGTTCAATATATTTAAGTTATATACTACAATGACAACATACGACCCAGTGGCGAAGCTAGGGCTCCAAACTAGGGCAAGCCCAAGATATGGTTTTGATGTTTTTAGCAATTTTACAAAAATACACCAATCTTGATCTGTCTCCACTCTTCAGTTTCATATTCAGTGCTGTCGAAGACGTATTTGACAAAGCACACAGAAGACATACCACTGCTAGATAGATTGTATTACATATCAGCAACTGCGTACCTTCGGTGGCTTTGAAAAAAGCCATTTGGGTTTGCTTGAGCGAAAGAAAAAGATATTTACATACAATACATGAACAAAAGAAAAATATGACCAAAGTACAAACAATGTACGAAATTAAAAAAAAAAACAAATAATTCATATTCTAAATCGAATCGTGTCCCTTTCAGGAAAGAAAGATTTCATTACGTCCGCGTAAAATGTTGTTTTTCTCAACAAAGTTTAAAGATCTTACCTTTTCTTCGCCGATTAGCACTTTAACACATTTAAATTCATCACAAGGAACACTATTATCCCCCATTTTCACTAAAAATCTTTAAAAAAACATCAACTCGCAATATGCATTCACTGAAGTAAACACACAGAGTAAACATTGAACTGTTGAACTTCACACTGAAAGCCCGGCTCATTGCTCCAAACTAATTGCCATATAAACAATCGTAGTTATATTACATTATAAAACATTTTTTCACAGGTTAGAAAGAGAGCGATCGTCTTCCTGAAAACCCTAAAAAGCCCACGCGTGCGAGAAAGACGACTAATTGCTCAACTCAACTCCTTGCTTTCATTAATTTTGACAGTCCATTGCGTGTTCGCTTTGAGACAGAGAGAACACGAATCATTGTATTTCGAATTGAAAGCAAACTGCCAAGTGTTGACATTAACCCTTAAATGCATGATTATTTGTTTTGAACTAAAAAAAATAGTATATGATAGGAAATTAATTACGTAAAAAATAATAAAAAAAAATCCAGCTAATAATATAGAATATTTAATTTGAAAAAATACTATGTAGACTTTTGGCAACAATATGCGTTTATTGATAAAATTACTGAAGACGTAAGCAAATAGTCATATTATAATTTTATTCAATAGTATAGGAATTTCCTTATTATTTATGAATGAAATACAGCAAAGTAATTGCGATTTTTGTTATGACATAAAGCAACCTTGCATTTGACGCACTCAGGCCGTGAAAATCCTTTACAATTTGGAAGTTTGCATCTATTTTTAGCGCTGCACCTTTTTTCATCATGGCCATACCATCAGTCCGGATATCTTTTGGCGGGACAGGTTTAGCGGGACTTCGGTGTTTTTTAGCTTCGATCTCCCTTTCTACATTTTTGCTTGAGGGTCTGCCTCTTTTATTTGTATCCTACTTTTTATAGGAGCATAAAGTCTCTGCAAGTTCAGATCTGTAATCTCCTAAGGTAAGATTTGGGTATTTTTTCTTATACAGTATCCAAGAATTGATCACTGCCATATCAACCATGCGATAAAATAATCTAATATACCACTTGCGACTTTTTATTCTGATTTTATACCTACCCAAAAAACTATCCATGAGGTCAACTCCTCCCACATGGACGTTATAATCTTTGACTATTTTTGGACAAGCTATGGAAATTTGTTTCTTTTGTTTCTTGTTGTTCTATTCACAGTTTCGGCTGGTTCGGAGCCTACATAAGTTGACGCTAATGTGACAACCTTATTATCTTTCCAGCATGTTACCGAGATATCAAGGCCTTCGTAATCAGCTACTCGTTCCTCATATGTTCCTCGTACTATAGAATCTTTCATAAAATCTTTTACACCTGGCAATTTGCAATTCTTTCCGAGGCGGTTACGTTGAATAGTACCCAATGCATATATTCCTTGAGTCCATAGGTAATACAGTAAAGGAACGGATGTATAGAAATTGTCGAAATATAGGATATGGTTCATTTTTCGTGGAATTGAACGGCACAATCTAATCACTGTATTACCGACTACGCCAATATCAGGTTCATCAGATAAGTTGTCAACATTTTGTTTACCAGAATATATTTCAAAACTATAAGCATATCCAGAGAGTGAACACAAAACAAACAACTTAAAACCCCATTTATGGGGTTTGTTGGGTAAATATTGCTTCATAAAAAGAGCTACCTTAGTCGAACACATTTGCTCATCTAGAGAGAGCCTTTGGTCAAATGGTGCCACACGCACGAACAATTTGTTCAAGTATACTACAACAGGTCTTATTTTATGAAGACGATCATGTTTTTGGTGTCCAATCGGTTTGTGCTGTGCATTATCACTGAAATGTATTACTGATCTTATTTTCTCAAATCTATTTACCGTCATGGTCTGTCGTATATGATCGAAGCCATATTTACCCCAGTAGGATCTAACATTTGGGTAGTGGTACACGGACATAAATATGATGATACCTAGAAATTGACGGATTTCAGTAGCAGTTACAGGAGGACAGTTGGATACATTTTTTTGCGTGATGTATAAATTTGTTTGTTCCACAATAACAGTGAGTATATCCTCATTCATAAATTCGGAGAAAAATTGTAATGGTGTTTCAAGCGCTGCTAGTGGAGGGGAAAGGTCTGTATTTCCTATGAAACGTATACGTTCTTCACTGTATTGCAAATAACGATTTTTCCACATAAGTTCTCTACTTTGTTGCCTCCACGCTGCAACACCAAGAAGGCTTGAATGTGGTTGACAATTCGAAGGTCCTGGAGCTGGACTATTGAAGTGATCCAACCATCCTTCTTTCACGTTAGAAGATGGATTTTCATTGTATTCTTCATCGTCATCATTATTGTCCTCTAATTCGCTTATTAGATCTTGTAGATCCGGGAGATAATCAATTTCGTTCATATCACCCATATCCTCTTCGTCTTCAGAAATGTCTCCATTTTCTATTCGTGCAAGTAAATCCTCAATATCGTCATCTTTTAGCCGTCTAGACATCCTATAAAGCAAAGCAAACTATGTTCAAAGACCCAGACACCAAAAACACTCGCTTATAATTATTTATGAAACAAACGCATAATGTAGACATTTGGCAACATACAGTAATTTCCAAAAATCTGTCTTGTATCTAATATAACTTTCAAATACAACATCAAACATTGATAGCTTACCTGATAACAAATTAGAAGTAATTTTTTTAGAATAAGAAGAATCACTTTTTTATTAGGAACTCGACGGTAGAAACTATGTCTTCTAGTAACACACTGAACTTCATCACCTACCACATTCAAATGTTAAAAAACGAGTAACTTACCCGCCAAATGTAATGTCAACTTTTTTCTTTCAATAATGATTTATTGCCTATGGTTATTTACGAGCGTTCGGAAACGCAGGGACTCGAGGTTTTTGAATAAAATAACGTGAAAATAAATGTAGACAATTTACAACAATATGCATTTAAGGGTTAAATAATAAGGCTAAGAGGTCATGACCTGTGTGGAACAGAGAAGCGCGCTGGAAATTTTGAAATAGTTTGAAACAGTTTACTTGTTATTTTATCGAGTTATTTTATTAGTTGATATTATTGATTGAGCAGTTTGATAGGGCAAGCCCGGCTTCTCGGCTTCTATGAAGGCTTCGCCACTGATACGACCCACAACCAGGCTCATAAAATAAGGATATTGGCTAAGGAAGTTATACAGTACACGTATCTCTGAAATATTTTTATATATAATGATGACTATAAATAGCAGTCCATCTGTAGGTAAGTGGATGCTTTAGCCCATAAACACCTGCATTCATCCTCGATTAAAAACAAAATTGTACATTTGTTATCACTCATCCGTGAGGAATAAGATTGTCAGTGCCGTGAGAGGCGGTAGAGGGAAATGTAACAGAAGATGAGCAGGAGCATCTAGCTCATCACTGTGGTTGCAAGTCAAAGGGCAAATATTCTGAACTGATGATGATGATGAATAGCAAAACCTGCAACATTACAACTGTTAAATTTATTATTATCACAGGATCGGTGACTGCCTCGATGATTTAATGTCAGCGCTTGTTGATCATGTGGTCCCGGGCTCGAATCAAGTCAGGCCAAAATCAGTATTGGGTTTTTCTGTTAATAAATTCTTAGTAGCAGTCACATAGGCACAACAGGCACATGATGCGATTTATGTGCATAAAATGTGTTGATTTAAATGAAGGTAACCTATTTATTGATTAATTTAACAATTTTGGATCAATAAGATTTAAACATAATAGGAATAAAGAGGGTGTCGTAATATTATTACGAAAAACATTTGGGTTTTTTTTTTTTGGAGAATATCACCGTCGGAATCATTAAATGCTATCATAATTTAAATAATGTAAAACATAAAAGTTACTACTGGTTTCTCGGCCAATTCCTCTAGTTGCTCAAAGCGACCCAATCGCCACAACGGCTCAGCTGCAAGCTCCATCATATTGTCGTCCGTTTCGCGTTCGTTTAGCAGACGATATGCGGTGAACGGCTGATCTAGACCCAAATAGCAATCAATCATACCCTAAAATAGTAAAAGTAGGACTTTACCACGTTTTATTTTGAAATCTTATCATTGTCGATTTACCTTATAGTCTTATTGATATCAATTTTGTGCCATGATTCTAATATAGATGTTTTAACTCACCAAAGCGGGCGGGCAATACGTGTTGATGCGATTTGCATAGACACGTGCTTATGTGTGCACACTGAAGGTAGCGTTGACTAGTTCATCTTAATTGAAAAAAAAATACAAGATTTGCGTTGTCGTTAAGTGGTATAAAAATACTGTTTTATTTAAATGAAATCATAATTAACCTTGTTCTTCTTTACAAGTTGGTGTCATCGTCACAAATATTTTGCAGATTTATATCAATTATTAACTTATATTAATGCAGTTTAACTCTTGACGAGTTAATGTAAATTCATATTCTGTCTTGAGAAAGTGGTACACACAATCAAATAAGCAATACATAATGAGAACCATGTATTACATGTTACAAACTCTAACGCAAACAATTTTTTTGCTTATAAGTAATTATATTTGTTAATTTATTAACATTAATTTATCAACAGTGCTACGAAAAATTCTGCTTTGTTTACTTTCCATGCTAAATGTTAGAGCGAAACAGGCTCGTGGCGATACTGAATGTTCCCCAGCTTACGCTCACAGAAACAATGTGCACGTTCTTCTACACATACAATTATGAAAAATCTTCCTTCGTAAATTTAAACGTCTGCACCGGAAATCTTTAGATAATGCATAAAACTAAAATGCCTAAATATTTAAGTTTATACTAGTATAAATATTATGTTGATATATTAATATTTTACCGCGATCTAGGTCACAGGAAAAAGCTATGCAAATTGGTTGTTCAATAGCTTTAGTAGTTTGTAAACCAAATCGGAACTACAAAGAAACTTTATAATTACCATTAAATTACAAGCAATCACAAACATTAGTATACACTTTACACGTAGTATGTACGTACATACACCCTTAGTTAAGCAATGTTTTATTAAATAAGCACATTTTTTGGACAGAAATTGGTTAATCGTTACTAAACTAACCTATGAACTAGTTTTTTTTTTATATATATAATAATGGTGAAAAACGTACACACAGTCCACCGCAGGTAAGTCGATGAAGTGACCCATAGATATCTACATTTATCCTCGATTAAGAATCAAAATTCAGATGTGTTGTCATCGCTGAGGACGAAGATGGAATGCCTCGTTTCCAGTAAAGTCTGTGGTCTCCAGTTCTCTACATTCACCATACGAAACACTAAGCAACCTCAAACAGTTATTTTACGCTAGTATTCTGCGAGAATGTGTTCCTATCCGATCAATCCGGCCCATTCGTGATACAATCATAATATAGCTGCAGCTTGGCTCTACCAAACCACTTTCAATGTCATCAACCTTGTATTGGAAATCCTTACTTGTAAGCTGTACCTATCCAGTTGTCCTTCTTGGGCGAGTCTCTCGTAACAAAGTGCAGCATCTTGCAATCTACCTGTTACAACTTGAGCGAGAATCAATTCTTTCAGCGACGGCTCGGAACGTTTAATAGACAAAATACCTAAAATTAAATTAAGTATATAGTAAGCCATCAATGAAACATTCACTCGGAGAGCATTATCTAACACTGCAATAATTTTATGGTTGGTTATTCTTACAATCCATTTTATAAGACATAAATACTTTGAAATCTGAAACTATTATATGATACACATATTATAATGTAATTAATGTAGATAAATCCTGCGTTTCAGTTTAAAACTCATTTTTCTGAAAACAGGTATAAAAATCTAATCATTATTGAAAATAATTTTAAGATTTCAGATTACTGCTTAGAATAACGATTATTCACAATAATTTATTGCGAATAATCGTACCGAAAAAGAAAAAAAAAAAAAAAAAACTTATTTTTTAAAAAACACAACCCCGGGGTTTTTAGAGAAGGACAAACGAACACACAGTTCACCTGATGGTAAGTGGTTGCTGTGGCCCATAGACATCTACATCTATCCTCGATTACGAATCAAAATGCAGATGCAGATGCGTTGTCACCCGTGAGGACTAAGATCGAATGCCTCGTTTCTATCAAAAAGGGTCTCTACACTCACCATACGAAACACAACAGAGTTATGCTGCTAATTTACGCGGGATTCTGTGAGAGTGTGGTCCTTCCCCGGTCGAGCCGACCCATTTGTGCTACAAATATACTACTAATATAGCTGCAGCGTGATTCTACCACGCAAAAATGTTGTAGTAAATCACTGACTCTATAATATATACAAGTACGCTGGACTGGCTATACCATACAAAATGTCAGTGTCGATTTGAAGCACCACAATTTTCCGTTCCGGAAACTAAAATTGACATAATATGCCAAAGTATCATCTTAATAATATAATAAATCTTATCTCCGTATTTTGAACTATTAAATTAAAAAAGAAAGTATTTCATGTGGTTTGATTAGGGATAATTTTAGTTACATAATAAGAAGTATTTGTAATAAGAAGTATTTGTAATAAAAACGAAAGTGTGCGTAATATGTAAAACCCGTTACCAAAAGGAAAGTGGTATAACAATCCACAAGTAAGTAAATTTACAGCTAATATTAAACAAAACTATTTGATAATATAGGTACTTAAAAATTTGTTACTAATCTTAATATCGTAATATCAAGATGTTTGGCTTTATATTAATAAAATTCAATAGTGTTGTCGAGTTTCTTATTTATGTATAATACTTATCGATGTTCTTTCCTACCCATATCTGTTAATAACCAAAGTCGCCAACAATAGATAATTATCAAATGTTTATTAATTAACAGGTTTCCAACTGAACCTACCTTAAAATTATGGCTTAAAAGCATAAATATTGTGAATTGGCGTCCGAAACAAAATTACCATCTTTCGTCTAAACATTTCACAGACGACAGTTTTATTAGACATGAGAATCGCACCGCTTTGAAAAAGTGCAGTATACTGACAATATTTTCTGGTAGTACCAGTAAGTATAAAAGTATTTGATTATTATTTCCAATGTTTTTTATTTCTTTTCTTCTCGTTTTCCCCCAAACTCAAGGCCCATAGCCAAATGTAGAAAGGTCGCCTGATGACGACTTTGTCTTTACAAGACGTAATCTGTATCAAGAGAATAATTATATACTGAGACCGCAAAATTATTAATGTTCTTAGTGAGTTTGCGTGTTTAGGTGAGAAATAGCTCTTGCTTGAACGGCGGGGGGGGGGGCCGTAGCCGTGCCTTGGTAACCCCTGCTAAAAGTAGGGGAACACATGACTGGTCCGAGGTGGTCACTCTGAGTGGACTTGCTTGCGGCTAGAGGAGATTTCTCTCGCTGTACCGATGCAGTCGAGGTGGAGTCGCATGGAAAGAGGAGTGTTGGTGTGGCAATTGGCGATGCACCACTCGACTATCCTCAGATGTATCATATCCGTATAAGGAAGCTCAAAGTCAGCGAGCTATGGAGAGGGCTATGCTCCGGGTTTCTCCGCGTGATAAACTTAGGAATGAGGATATCCGAAGTAGAACCAGAGTTACCGACATCGCCCAACGGATTAGTAAGCTGAAGTGGAAATGGGCCAGCCATATAGATCAAAGATTCGATAACCGATGAGGAAGAAAGGTTCTCGAGTGGCAGCATAGTACCGGCAGGCGAAGTGTAGGACTTCCCCCCACTAGATGGAGTGACGACTTGGTAAGACATGCAGCAAGTCGACGGATGCAGGTGGCTACGTGCTTTGTGGCATTTCTTGGGGGAGGCTAATGTTCAGCAGTGGACTAGTGAAGGGTTGTAATGATGATGAATGATGATGGCATTATATTAATGACACAAAAATAAAATGGACGTTACGCATAGAAGCCTAACAGTAACGTTCATTCTATTTATTTAGGTATAGGTAGGGTATAGAATTTTTATCGATATATTTTGTTACATTGTCTTATCTCTATTAGTAGTTCCGTGGACGTTCCCCTCAGCGCCAAAATAGCGCAAATCAAATCGCCTCAGTATGTCACGGTGTATAGCCAGGCCATATACAATGTGTTCGGTTACCGGTGTCGGAGCTTTTAATGCTATAAAATATAATCAATTTCATCGACAAATCATGTCTCAAATCTCATTTAGACCTAGCTGTATTTAAATGGCAGCCATTTAAATTTTTCAGTGTCACCACCTCGACCCCGCGCATTAAAATTACAATATTCACCGATGTAGAAGTCCTACATTCTTAAAAGATGTCTCATTGGATAGATAAAGATACGCGTAATAAAATAAAAGCAAACTTTTAACTGCAAAATTGTATTTAGATCCTAAAAAGACTTAGAAAAGAAAAAATGTAAAAAAATTCGGTTATTTTTTCACATTTTCGACTTTAATGAAAAAAGTAAGTCATTTACCTAATGATCTTTTACATTAATCAGATAGATCAGAACATTTCCTAACCAAAAACATAAAAATGTTAGTTGTAACCAAAAAAAATCAGTATTATAACTGTTTGAATATGACCTTTGAAAAATTTGTCGCCCTGGTTGCTGACAGACAAAGTGAACTGATGAGAAGAGTGAAACACATTTCAAAATGCACGTAACTAAAAAGTTATTTATAAAAACTGTTCGAAATGATCTCCGCGATGTTGGAAACATGTTGTAGCCCTTATTGCCACATGTTGAGTTGCACGTCTGATGATCTCCCGATCTTGTCGCAATTCATTTCCAACTTCGATTATTTTATTAATCAACTCTTCTCGTGAGTTTGGCACGTTCACATAAACCTTATTGCTTTATAGTGCCGCATAGGAAAAAGTCTAAGGGAGTTAAATCCGGTGAACGCGGAGGCCAAGCGATCCTTCCACCGCGACGAATCCACAGCGAATAGCGCTCATTTAAATAATTTCGCACATTTACTGCAAAATGTGCAGGTGCACCGTCAAGTTGGAGAATCATCCTTGCTCTGTGAGTTAATGGAAGCTCCATTAATTGTTCCAAAAACTGTGTTTGCAAAAACTCTAAAAATCTTGGGCCATTCATAGTTTCTGGTAAAATTATCGGCCCAATTAAAATATCGTCTTTTATTCCAGCCCAAACGTTCACTCGAATTTCATGTTGGAAAGTACTTTCTCTAACAGCATGAGGGTTTTTTTAAACCACAGATGCTCGTTACGGTGATTTGTATAACCAGATCTCGTGAAAGTAGCTTCGTCAGTCCACAAAATTCTTTTTAAAAAATCTGCATCTTGTCTTGTTCTTCTATTGATCCACGAACAAAAAACTGCCCTTATAGCATAATCAGGTTCGCGAATGTCTTGTACCCGCCGAAAATGGTAAGGATGCAAACCTTCCCTCTTTAAAACTCTCGACACTGACCATTTTGTTAAGTTAAGCATGTTGCTTATTCGTCTTACACTGAGTCTGGGATCTTGTGTAATTAAACGTAATATCTCTTCTTCCTCCTCAGGTGCCACAAGCCAAAATCTTTCATTAGCGGGTCTTCTAATCCCAAGTTCAGCTATCCGCAAATGTATTCTTACAAAAGTGCGAGCATTTGGTGTAGGCCTGTTGGGAAACATTCTGGCGTACTGTGTGACAGCTCTGTTTGCGTTTCCGTTGCACAATCCATATACAAAGTGGATATCAGCGACATGCTTGTTTGAGCATTCACCATCTGCCATTTTTGAAAATATCAAAATAACTAGAAACTTCACCACAAACTTAAGAAGTTCCACAAAACTAATTTTTTTTAACAATAACAACAACAAGCGATCTTAGAGGGGCAAAAGTAGTGTAATCACAACGCGTGGCGAGGGACGACTGTTTTTGTTGTCCCAAGTACACTAGTTTAGAACATCAAACAATGGGCTTTGGGTTTTTCTACCTGCTTTTGAACTATCATAATTGATCCTGCACGTGCAGCTTGCGCTTTTAAGAGGCCGTGTTTGATAAAGTACAATTCTTAAACTATTTAATTTACAACTAAGGTTTTTATGTTTTTGGTTAGGAAATGTTCTGATCTATCTGATTAATGTAAAAAATCATTAGGTAAATAACTTACTATTTTCATTAAAAAAATAACCGAATTTTTATTCTTTTCTAAGTCTTTGTAATTTTAATGCGCGGGGTCGAGGTGGTGACACTGAAAAATTTAAATGGCTGCCATAAATACAGCTAGGTCTAAATGAGATTTGAGACATGATTTGTCGATGAAATTGATTATATATTATAGCATTAAGCTCCGACACCGGTAACCGAACACAGAGGTCAGTATAGCAAATTAATAAAGACAAAGAAACGCTAAACTTGCTTATTGTATAATATATATATATATATATATATATATATATACAGGGTGTTAGTGTAAATACCGTTGTCCTTGAAACCAGTGGTTTGGTTTCACTTATAAAAAGTAATTTCAATGAAAAATAACAACATTTTTTAAGTCAAATCTCAATTTTTTCCTACAATTATTTCACCCTAGGCAAGTAGGGATATACCTACAGAATTCACAACAAAAAAACTCAACGTAGGTAGCGGCAGCGATTCGCGGTCAAGGCCAATGTCACTGTGTCAGTGTGTCATCAGTCCTTCGCTGCGTCGGTACGGAATGTACGTGTTAATTTGATTTAAAACCGCACCGCGCAGTGCCGACATTCTACGTCGCTTTAGGTTGTAGTTTTGGTGCGAGTGTATTTAATTTGTAATTATGTCCTACATAAACGTACAGTGGAAATGTGCCCTCTTCGTTCACTTAGAAACCTTTATTACCAACATGACGGTGCCTCTGCACATTTTCAGCTGCAAATCAGGGCTATGCTGGTTGAGGAGTTTCCTGGGCGATGAACCGACCTTACCCCGCTGGACTTTTATCTTTGGGGAGAAGTGAAGCGCCGAGTGTATGCAACTAAGTTCCGTAATACGTCCGAACTCAAAAGGCGAATTCCTGGTGTATTTAGAGAAATGACACTGTTGTGCTTCTAGCTTACAACAAAAAATTCATTTACGAGGATTTTATTTAATAAGTAAGTGTAAATAACCAATCAAAGCCAAGACAAAGGATTGTACAGCTTGATGTCAGGCTACACATCAAGCTGTACAAATCATTTGTCTTGGCCTCGCTTTGTATGATCTTTCCGTACAATGAACGGTCAGCTTATGCTTCAAATGCCCTTTGCATTCCAGGGCCGCGGTACGGTATACGGTAAATACGCCAAAAATCCTACCTAATGATTTACTATTTACTATTATTAATGTTTAATTTTCTTTGTTGTTAAATCTAACTTACATTAATTTGGACTCGTCACGCAACACAAAGGGTAGGAATTTTTATCTGTCCTAAGCAAGTGTGAAAGTATGAAGGAAAAGTTTCATGATAGGTTATGTGTACCATTGTGTTTATATTGAAATGTTGTGTAGGTAGCAAGGACGGACGGTGATCTTTACAGTGATTACATCACTCGAGCGCATAGGGTATCCATGAATTTACGGACGGTGTCGGACAGAAACTTTTTTTAATTTTATAAAAGAAAATAGCGTTTTTATTTTAAATCGGATAAATATTTTTATATTAAAGCCAATTTCCTTCGACAAAACCTATGGTTTCAGTGACAACGGTGTTTACACTTACACACTGTATATATATATAACACATTTCAATGATTTAGTAACGCTATATGATTGATTTTATCATATCATAGAATACTATAATACAAAATAGAATGGCTGTCAACCTTATTTTGTACGAGGATCGGCGTCGCCGGGAGCACACATACTAGCAATTACGTCGTATAATCACTATTACAAACCCAATTCGCTGTGTTGACAGACTTGGTAAATTTACACATTTTAGACTTTTGATTAATGTCCAAGATCATCATTAAAAAAAACGTTTAAATTTTAATACATATTTATTTGTAAATAGTGTGCAATTTGGCGTTTTCTAAATAATTTACATGCGAAATTTAGAAACGATTGTAACGTCAAAACACATCTTGTGTTGACATTTATACGTGTGAATTGACATGTGACATTAGTGGCTACACGGGTTCCGCCCACTTCCCCGTTATATTATGTTTGTATTATAGTATTCTATGTATCATATTATAAAGGTTCCTTGTACGGAAGGGGAACCCTAAGAAACGACTCACCAGCAACTGAGTCAGGTTCATCCAAAAGAGCGTATATTTCAGCCAACAATGGCAACTGTTCTTGTATCCGCTCTTTCTTTTCGTCCATATAAATTTCCAGATATTGTAGAGCTCGCTCCAATTCGCCGCACGCGAAGTTACCACGTGCAATTGTGAGTTTGTCAAATTTTTCCATAAAGGAAGAAATTGCTCTGTAATAAATAATTTATAGCAATCTGTGACTTTGGATTAAATTTTACTTATACTTAATCGTTTTTCTTGTTTTTATTCCAGACATAAAAAAATCTTATATATATATATATATATATATATATATATATATATATATAATTAGAAGTCAAAGAAACGTGCTTACTTGTAATTTTCATTTTCAGTTGGACGTTGTTTTAAATGACACCACTCCAAAAGCCATCGATTCAAGAAGTCGAATAGAGTATAAATAGTTTTGCTGCACTTACTCTAAAACATTTATTTTTAATATACCATCTGCTCTTAAATTATTAACTTAGACCAAACAGCAAAGATTAAATATATAATTAATGAATTATAAAAATACACGAGTATTTCAACATAAAAGTAATAGAGAACTGCAACAGTACAAAATATAATCATCATATTTTTCATCCTTACAGCTTTTTGAAGTTCATTGCTGAACATAGTCTTCCCCATAGATTGCCTCATAGGGGTCGTATTTCTATAGTCGCCACTCTTTGTGAACGACTTGGCGCCTGCAGTTTTTTTATTATTTTGGAAAGTTAACAGGAATATGCTGCTGCTATTTCATATACATATACATAAACACTCACGCCTGTCACCCAGAGGGGTAGGCAGAGACTACGGACTTCCATTTGGCATGAATCTGACATACCTCTTTCGCCTCCTTTACATCTATATATCTACGCATACATGCTCGTCGGTTAAGGGTACTTCTAACGTGGCCCCTTTTTCAAAATATCGCCAATTTGGTCGATAAACTTTTTTCTAGGGCGTCCCTTCCCGACTCGGCCGTTCACATCTGCCATATAAATTTGCTTTGTCACTCTTTCCTCAATCATTCTTTCTACATGACCAAACCACCGAAGCATTCCTTTCTTAATCCTGGTCACAACATCATCTTGCATACCACATTTATCTCTTATCACGCAATTTCTCACCCTGTCATTCAGATTCAACCCTAGCATACTCCTTAAAGACCGCATTTCTACAGCATTTATTCTACTTTCGTGCTTCTTCTGCCACACCCAGCTTTCACTACCATACATTAAAGTAGGGACTAACACAGCATTATGAATTACCATACGTGCCTTTTTTGACACATTCTGGTTCTTCATAATAGAGTGTAGTGCCCCATTCACTCTATTCCCTGCATTTACTCGTCGTTCTATATCCCTATCATATCTACCATCCCTGCTAAATACACATCCCAAATACACAAACTCATCCACTTGCTCAATTAACTCTCCTTCTATTCTTATTTCACATACCGTTTTGCTTTCTTCTCTTTCAAAAACCATCACTTTCGTCTTACTTGCGTTCACTTTCATTCCCCTTTCTGCTTCTATTTCCTGTTTCAGTTTTCCTCTGTTGCCTTTAGGACAATCGCGGGATGATATGAAATAGTGAAATCTCGTGCACCGCTTCTACACGGCAAAAAAAATTTCGTGTAAAAAAATTTTCGTGTGTTCGGCTCTTTATGGGTTAAATTTTATTCATTTGTTTACCTGATTTCCTTCTTCAGCTTGTATTGAATTGATATTAGGAGTCATTCTGATATGACGCAACATCTTATATTTAGCTCTCTCTGAAGGTACCTCTCTCTCGTTATCAGAATTTTCACGTCCTGTAAAATATTTCTACTTAATAATACTAGAAGAGGTGAGGTAAGTAGGGATAAGCCCTTATCTTAAAATTTCACATTATGCGATAAAACGAAGATTGATACCCATCGGCATTAACAAAAGTGTTAAATGCAGTTTTAATTGCTGATTTACTTCGGCGCTGTAGTAAAACATCGTGAGTAAACTTGCAAGTCAGAACTAAGTACGAGCGGGCAAAGTGCTTTTCTCAGTGGTTCCATCGGATGCAGCGATGTATTGATGTAAATAGACAATATTTTGAAAAGATATAATAAAACTAATAACTTTTTAGATTGTTCACTTTTTGATTTTCTAAGAACTTTCAATGTCACCCTCGTATGTGGGCAGTTATTTTATTTTAACTAAATATAGTTTTTTATTCACATTCATAATAATGAAGAAAAAAATACATGCATGCTGTTGTGTAGTTTAACATACGAATTTGGGGGGGGGGGACTAATGGCGGAAAAATCTATTCTAAAAATCTCAACCCAACATTGGAACCGGTGGAGGATTACAAAATGAAACAAAGAATAGACACGTACTATTAAATTTTAAATCATAATTTTAGGAAAATTAAATGATATGGCCAATTTTTGACTAGCTGTCGTATTTTGGACGGGAAAAACGAAACTTGAATTGGACTTTCAGGAACGCTGATATGATTAACCCCAGAAAAAGGTAGTAATTGGAAATCTCTCAAGAACGTTTTAAAAATTGACTACGTTTTTCACGTTTTAGTTTTTTTACAATTTTGAACGAATATTTTTACGAAATAAAATTATAAATAAAGTCAGATAAGTAAATCCGTATTTATCCTTCCAGCATCTCCAATTTACTAAAGCATTTTTACTTATACCCTTTTCACCTTTGCAGCTTCGATAAGATACGAGTGACAGGGACACGATAACAAATTAGAGACACAAAAACTCTCTTATGACAAAAATACTGCAATAGTATTTTTTAATTATTTTTGATTACTTGTTTGATTTTATAAAATAATATTTATTAAAAAAACAGTGGTCCAGTAATATCTAGCAAAGAAGATAAGCACCTATTACCGCCATTATCTCCTCTTCAACATACTGTGCGACAGATTTCGACATAATAGCATGTAGAAGCACATAAGGGAAGAACAGGAACAAGGTGCGTACGTCACGACGCATGCTCGGGTGTACGGTACGCAGTAAGTCTCGAATACTTTCAGACTCTATTAGCGAGATCAACTGACCCGTCCAACTGCAAATAGATCAAATATATTTTTAATTTTTGCTTCACAAATATACTGGTTTCTGGATTTATATGCAAGAAGGTCCGAATGAATGGCTTTGTGCTGACGCATATACTTGTAGCATAATAGGAGGGCCTGCACACAAAACAGCTAAAAGACGAAAATATTCAGAAGTTTTCTGTGGATATAATTAGACCAAGATGGCATCACTATCATCGTCGTAAAAAATTTCATTTGTAATAAGTACAAGAGTCACAATAGGCGCTCGTGTAAACAAAATTTTATATCTATCTTATTTCAATCATCACACATGTATAATATACCATATATATATATATATATATATATATATATATACAGAATGGGTCCCACATATATGCACTAAATGAAACCATATACTTGTTATTGCCTTTGCTGACGATATACAAAAAAATGAACGTAATCGGTCCAGTAATTAGGTCAAAAAGTAGAGTTTTAATTTTAAGCAAATTTGAACACTCTATAGAATTGGGTCACTAAATCAATGATTCAATGAACTTGAATCCTTGAACATTAAAAAGCGACGTTGCCACGCAGTGCAAACTATTGGTATTGCGACATATCGACAGCGGTGTCTTTTGTCGGCGTGCCACCCGCGTGCAACGTTGTCACTCTTCCAAGGGGTCAAGGTACGTTGTCTAAACAGAGTGTTCACTTTTACTGAATTTATTTTAATATTTATTTTGTTTGAAAATTTCACTTTTTTATTTTACTGGTTTTAATTTAATATTTAATTTTTCTACACTTCTACGGACTAGTATTGTGGTTTCATTTATTGCATATATGTGGGACCCATTCTGTATATATTTATTGTATACCATACCTTAAAATAAACTCAATTAAGCTGCCACCAGTTCTTTTCTGGGTGTGTTGTAGGTTGTAGTATGTAGTATACATATACCTAGGCAGCACTAAAAGTATCGGGAATGGAATATTTCCACTGTACCTGTCATATTAAAATCTTTTTAATTGAAAACTCCTTGGTTTTAAAAATCGAATACCATTTATTTATTTAAAAAAGATTCTCGGTCTTGTCACAAGGTTTTGTCAAACTTGTTTAGTCGTTGACAAAATGGAACTGACTCGAGAAAATTCAAGAACGATGATTTATTATGACTTTCGAAGTGGTTTAACACAAAAACAGTGTGTTGACCGGATGCTTTCTGCATTTGGTGATGAAGCCCCATCCAAAAACACAATTTATCGCTGGTTTGCTGAATTTCAACGTGGACGTGTCAAGCTCAGTGATGATCCCCGTCAAGGTCGTCCAAAAACTGCAGTCACCCAAGAAAACGTTGGTGCTGTGCGTAAGCTGATTGAGGAAGATCGACATGTGACATACCGCGAAATTCAGGCAACTTTAAACATTGGCATGAGTCAAATACAAATAATCTTGCATGAACAATTAGGTGTAAAAAAGTTGTTTTCCCGATGGATATCGTATTCGCTCTGTGAAGAGCAAAAAGCGGCTCGCGTTACTTGGTGCGTCAGAACTCTCGAAAGATTCCACGCAGGATCCTCAAATGCTGTATACAACATCGTATCAGGTGACGAATCCTGGATATACGCGTACGAACCCGAAACAAAAAACCAGTCACGAGTTTGGGTGTTCGAAAATGAGTTAAAGTCAACAAAAATTGTTCGTTCACGGAGTGTTGCAAAAAAAATGCTGGCCACGTTTGTCTCCAAAACCGGCCATGTTACGACTATTCCTCGTGAGAGACAAAGAACGATTAATGCAGAATCGTATGCTAGCATTTGTTTGCCACAGGTCGTTTCTGAACTCCGTAAAGAGAACTGCAACCGCCGCATCATCCTTCAACACGACAATGCGAGTTCTCACACCGCACACAGAACAAAAGAGTTTTTAGAGAAATAAAACATAGAATTATTAAACCATCCGCCGTACAGCTCCGACCTAAGCCCTAATGATTTCTATACTTTATCTAAAATAAAGAATAAATTGCGTGGACAGAGATTTTCATCACCTGAAGAAGCTGTGGACGCCTACAAAACGGCCATTTTGGAGACCCCAACTTCCGAATGGAATGGTTGCTTCAATGATTGGTTCCATCGTATGGAAAAATGTGTCAAATTTCGCGGAAAATGCTTCGAAAAGCAATGAATACATTTTTAAATAGTAATGTTGTGTCACTTCCTTGATTCCCGAAATTTTCAGTGCCGCCCTCGTATGTAGTAGTTGTATACAACACCCCTAGCAAAGAACTGGTGGCAGCTTAAGTGAATCCATCATATAGGAAATGCCTGAAAAAGCTCAATTCTTCCGGAAGATGATAGGTGTAACAATGTCGTTCACGCCAAAGGCAAAAAGCGTTAAAGATACGAGACGTCTGTACAGCGATCGCTAATTCACCTGCTGAGCAAGTCAAATCTTTTTTAAAACGAAAGAAGCCCAGAATTGCCAGCCAGCCCAGAATATACAAAATTGGGCTTTAACAGGCTGATGAAGGAGAATAAACGTAAAATTAATTTGCGAAATAAACGCCTGGTAAATGGTAGATCTACATCCCAGATCAATACTGGTAGGATTATAAGCGATCTAGCAGCTAAAATTAGCAACATGATTAACGATCACCTTGAAATAAAAATGGCACTAAATAACTAAATGTTTACGTTACTTACTTGTGCGCCCATTCTAGAAATGTAGTTGCGTGTACTGAGCCGAATAGCGGATGCGTTTTCTTAGGTTGCGAAGGATAAGCCAAGGTGTATCTAAAATTAACAACAACATCGACTTATATCAAAATTTAAAAACTTTAACATAATAGAAATTATCCAAAATATTGAATAATTGTTTCTACGGATTTTATTGAGTTTTATTTCACTTTTAACTCTCGACGTATCGGGTGCTTTGCAGCAACCATTGTCACGAGGGGGCTGGGATGATCGATCACCTAAAGTCAAATCCGTAAAAATAGTTTTATTACTACGCATTGGGTAGTGTTCGCATAAATATATGAAATCATTATCTCAAATATTTAATCGTGCAAGCTTGTATTCAATAAAAACGGTTAGCATTTGGACAATTTCAAAGTTCAAAATCCCACAAATCTTTCTGCCCACGCGGGCTCTCTAATGACTACTACAGTCTATCCCTGGACTTTGGTCTATGCAACCGCAACAGCTTTCTTTTTACATATAGAAATGATACCACTTTGTCCATTTTAACTGTCATTTCCTAATTTCACACTCTTCCATTCTTTGAAGACATTCTTCTTTTCTTTCAGATTCTTTCAGATCTGTAATTCTTTATTACACCACCAAATTACCCTATCTATTTTACATTACCTTTCGTTTCCTCAAAAATATCTTTCCCCGTACTTCCGTTACTTGTTGCCAATTCATTCCATTAGACTTTCTAATCATATAATTTATTTCTATCAATTTAGATACAACTCTATGACGGAGTTTTTCAGTACAATCAACTTTTATTAATTATAAGGCATTTAATTTGGAGAGGAAATTTTTATCTTACTTCATTGGCCTTATTCAGAGAGAAAGTAGCGATTTAAGAAAATATTTATTAAGCAATGTTATTATAAAAGTCAAAAAATATTATAGAAATTCTAGATCATTTGTATTTTGATTCCAATTATTTCTTATTACCATAGAATACTATAATACATACATAATAGAACAGGGGAGAGGGCGGAGCCCGTGTAGCCACTAAAATGTCACTGACATGTCAATTCACACTTGTCAACACTAGATGTGTTTTGACTATGTATGTAAGTACTCTAAGATTTTGACGTTACAATTGTTTCCAAAATTTCGCAAAGATGCAAAATATTTAGAAAGTGTAAATATAATATATATAATAACACAAGAGCTTGTAATGCTATGTATGCTATGTAACAAAGTACCTGGAACTAAGGAGGGGGAACATTATCTGATGCATATTCTCTGGGAAGCTTTCCCAAACTTCTTTCTTACTGCCCGTGGGCGATATGTCGTAAATCTTCAGCATTTCTTGTATTGTCAAGGCGTAACAATCCATATTCTGTAGCAAAATATTTTGTTGAGAATGTAGCATGCACTTGAGATCCTTTCTTAAGCATTGGTACGCAATTCTACGAACTATATGGGTGTAATTGGGAAAGTATTTCAAATTAACACACATAAACTTACCATTGTATCTTTCTCGTATTGAAAAGCTCTAGAAAGTTCTACTAGAGCAGTAGCAGCAAAACAATTATCGACAATAGAGAAAGCGAAAGGCGATCTATCGGGCTGGACATACTGACGAGGCAAATGTCCGGCTTCGATGGCACCTAGCTGGCCCAGACAAGAACCACTAGCATCACTCACTTTGCTATCAGGATCTTTACAACCTGCAACGGAAAGGGCAATAAAAATTGGTTAATACAATAATAAGGATTAAACAAATCAATAGTTTTATATTTTATTTTTAATTTTTTTTATAGGATAAGGGTGACAAACGAGCACACAGTCCACCTGACGGTAAGTGGATGCTGTGGCCTATAGACATCTACATTTAACCTTGCCTAAGAATGAAAATGCAGATGCGTTGTCACCCCTGAGGACTACGATGAAATGCCTCAATTCCAGTAAAACGGGTCTCCAGTTCTTTACACTTACCATACGAAACACAGCAGCATTAAGCAGCTATTTTATGCTGGTATTCTGTGAGAGCGTGGTCCTTCCCCGGTCGAGACGACCCATTCATGCTAGAACCATAATAGCTGCAGGGAAAAAGGCCCACTTTACATTAGGTGGACGGTATGCTCACCCTTATTCTATAACAAAAAATAGTGCTAAATTAAAAAAATCTATAAACAAAATAATAATAAAATAAGTTCTAAATCCTGTTTCATCTAAATTTGTAAGTATTGCTCATTGCAAAATGTAAGCTCCGAAAACTTTTATAACATTCTGAACGTAAGCCCACAATGATTTAAAAACGTCACTTATGTGCCCTGCATAAAATTGACACTTTACAAATGCGTGTTAACCATGTAAAACTATAAACATACTATTAAGATTTTTATAAATAAGAGTTCTTTGAAAACTATGCAAAAAAATACACAATTGTAGGAAAAATTAAATCAGTTTTTATTAAATTCAGTTAATATCAAGAGATGCTGTTGCCAATCTGTTCATTTCCCTCTGTTGCCTTTTATAATACTGTAATACCGTACCGTATTATTACACTTGTCTCCCGTACCGTAACTCTTGGTATGGGAGACAAGTAAAACAGAACACAGCTGTTGACACACTACGAGTATTAACTCTCTAGAGTCTAGACACATGCCGTGGGCGCAGCCACGCACACATACATATCATTAGCGTACATACACAATAAGTACCCACGTGATGATACAGGGTAGTGGTTTCTATAGGCCGCAACTACACTAATTACTGTATCTGAAAGAAAGTTATTAGTAGTTAATACTAACCAATCAATAAACAGTCTATTAACTCCACTATTACAGGATCTATATTTTTTCCGCCAAATATAGCTTTGTGAATTTCAGTTCTGTTGTTCTTAAGCAACTTATCCAAGTGAGAAAAAGCAAAAGCTTTTATGGTCGGAATTTCATTATTTAAATGCTCCAAATACCATTTTATTTTATCTAGAAATCCCTCAGGTTGTGTCCTATTTACGTGTTTTTTTATAACTATTTTTACTTTTTCGGAAATCTTTGAATCTTCGAGAAAGAAAATATCGGATAAATTACTGCTCAATAAATTTTCATTTTTCAATACGAGATAATGAAATATTTCATTTATTTCTTGCGGAGCGTACTCAAACTGCTGCAATAATGACACAGCCAGATTTGACAACAAAGGTCCAAGAGATATATTGTCGATATTATGAATGAAGGCGCCCCATGCATCCGCCAGTATTTTCGGAAATTCCTTAACCAATGGTAAAGCAGACCTTAAAGTAGCGAGCACTTTAAACCTTAAAGGAGTAATATACTTAACTCCCATAAGTTGCATCATGTCAGGAAAACTTTTTAAAGCCTTACGCTTCACGGATAACGCAACTTTAGCGTTCACTAGCTTATGATCAAAATATGCAAGAACGCCAAGGAATTTTGGATTCAGAAAATCCGCTATTTGCGATGTACTCATTTTCATATGGCCGCTTGAAGTAGTAGAAGTAGATACGTCTGGATCATGGCAGGCTAAGTACCTACACGCGTTTAGTACTTTCTCTGGGTTACAACTATACTGTAACAGAAACTCCGTTAGAATGACCCTAAAATGTTTCTTAATAAGACTCAAAATTGAGCATTTCGTCAGTCTTTCTATAACTGAATAGCACTTATCAGCTACTGCGTTAGATTCGTTAAGATAAACATGAACATAAATCAGAGGAAATCTTTCCACAATAAAGTCAGACACTGAACACTGAACTAACGAAGCAATTTCTTCAATCATTGAGGGAACTTCCATAATAGTAACAGAATAAGGTATCAAATATGGCAAGAAATGATGTACATCTTTGGATATGAAGTCTCTGTAACCAACAAAACCGAAAGCTCTGACCACTTTCAATAAGGATATTGCAAAGTCCTTTCCAGTATAAAGGCTACATTCTACGAAAAGTCTGCAAAAATCTTTCTTATATCGATGATATACTTGATTCGGAGTATAGCCGTGAAACTCGCATATTTCCCTCAAATAAATTACAGCTTTAGGTGCTAAGCTGCACTGTGGATGCATTATAAAGTATATAAATAATTTTGTTACTGGTAATATTGCTCTCTCATCACTATATAAACCAAACTCTTTAATTAGATTAAGTGTTTGCGTTTGTTGATTATAATTATTGCTTTCTAAACTGGCTTGAGTCTGTTTTACTAGTACATTAATACACTGAATGAACACCTCATTACTTTTTGAATCATCACCGTCTTGTTTCTGAAACAAAAAAGTAATAATTATATACAAGTTGCTGTTACTATCGAGCCATAGTATCTGAGGTTTAAGCACTAGCCGTCTTAAATTTCATAAGCTTTGGCAATAAAATGTATAATCCCATTTTTAAGCACCGATTCACCACATATTTGGCTGTAAAGAAAAACAGCATGAGGAAATAAGTATAATGAGCTTGAATGGTCCAAAGTTATAAAAAAAATACTTATAGTTTAAGGCCATCTATGACGGCCCTTAAAATTAAGAATAGCTTTGTAGCTGTAGACTTTGATAGTACTGTTGCAAGCCACAATTAATGCCTCTAGTGTCGGGTAGCAGAGCGAGGAGAGCTTTCTAGAATAAGTTAAGGGCCGCGACCGGGGCAGTATTAAATTGGCGATACGAGCTAAGCTATCGGAGCGAAATAAAGTGAACTAAAGTATTAAGTGTGATTAATTATTAGTGTGATTTAAGTTTTAATTGGTGTTCAGTAAATAAAGTGTCAATTTTGGTAATTCAATCGGCAGTTTTTATTGTCACGAACCCTAAGCTCGTAACAGTACAAAGTCACTAAATATTAACTAGAATGTTATGTTGTTTAATTCCATAGCATCACAGTTTAGACCTAACAGTTGTGAAACGCCTTTGATGTCAAGCGACGCCGCCGACCGCGTAGGCGTTGACGCGGCTGGCGTGTTTGCTAGGGGTTGTCACGAAAATGGAAATTAAATAATTTTGGATATTATAATACTCATTATCATTTATTAACATTATGTACATACTTATAAGTTAAAAACGTTTGTCGAACAAGATCATTTCTTATTACTACAAGAAAAAACACATTTACAAATGTTTCACTGCCAAATATTTTCGTGACACTCTCTTTTTATAGATGTTTCAGTTTTCGATTGTTAAATTTAATTAAATTGTTTATTTTTTTTATTAATTAAAATGTTTTCACATAATTAAATTTAATTAAAGATAAGCATGACCGTCATTTGAATTTAATTTTACTTAGTAACTCATATAACAGTAACTCACCAATATAAATATAATATTTTTCGAAAACCGCATTCAAAATTAGTTATATAAGTACTATATAAAACGCTCGCGCCAACCGCGTGTATTGTCTATCAAACTCCGTGAAATGCGCTAAGCACAAGGTCGGCCTGCCCCTTGCCCCACAATGCCCCCACCATTGCTCTGCGCAAGTACATTCGTTTCCCAACTGTAAGGTCTTTAAACTATGTTAGTATTAACCTCATCAAGGTAGATATCAAGGTATAAAAATTAGAAGTGACAATACTTACTCGTGTACTATTAATATAAGGCTTAATTGCTTTTAAAACATTCTTAATGTTTTCTTCATTGATAATTTCAGTTGTAACACCGTAATCAAACACATAATAATGATTGCATAGGCATTCAAATAACATCCAGTATTGAGTTTTTTCTAGATCTACATATTGTTTCCAGTTCAAAAACTTTGTAAACAAACTCTGTAAACTGTGAAGCAAAGTTTGTTGTGATGGTGTTATTTCGAAAGACTTTCTGCAAATCTTTAGGTAATCTTTTTGTATATTTGCAAAAAAAACTTCAACTCCTTCCTTATTTTTGTTTTGACAATTGTAACACACAACTGATATATCTAAGGCTTTATTTTTAAATATTGTATGCCCCATAGATTTTCCTGGCTCCCCAAAAATAACTTCGTATGTCCCCAAAGATATACAAGCAATAGCTTGAACAATAGAAGTAAGCTCAGATTGAATATCTGGGTTCTTAGAAAGAAACGCCGGTATTAATATTTTTCCTATAAGCTTGCTTGCGGAGAACTGTTTATTTAGTATTAATAAAGGGCATAAATCAATAATCTGAAACCAAAATTAAAAAAACAAAAATAATATGACTTGAGTTTTACAACTCCATGGTGGAAGTGAAACTTTTTTGCCATAAACCTAAATAATTATACTGTTTCTCGTCTTGCTTTTGTCATTTTGATTTTTTTTTTCGAAGAATTTTTTTTTAAATAACATGAGTAATTGAAATATTTACACTAAAGTATGATATTCAAAGTACATTCCTAAGATTTCATAAATATATATTACGAGTATCTTAACATGACCACAAGTGGAAACTGCAAGAATAGACCATATTTCATAGAAGATTAAGTCAATTTTTATTTGTTTTAATTTTTTATCAAATCAGAACATAAATAAGCTTCATGCTGAATACAATATATCTCTATGTTGCATCAATGTATGCCTTTTTGGTGCTATAGATTTCAATACAGTTTTATGTCTAAATGTCATTATGTGTATTATTTTAAATAATGTTACATCCACACTAGGATTTTTCTCCTGCATTTTAGAGGCAGTTTACATACACAAATTGGACAAGGACAAACATTCAGACCCAGAACAATTAGTTGTAGGCCATAAAAATAATTGTTCAGTTCACGATTCTAATCCACGGCCCACAGCGCAACAACTCATTGCTAAGCCACCGTACCATGGAGCAGTCAGTTTTATTATATTTTAACTTTGAAAAATATGATGAAAAGTGAGGTGAGGTGAATGATGAGAAATGATGAAAACACGAAGTGTATGAAGCAAATTAATAGTGCAAAAGCTTTAGTTTGCTTTTGATTTTTTTTTTCTTTTTACTCTGTGCAGTAGTAAAATAGAAAATCCCAACGCAATTTTGTAACTTTGATGGGAATCATAGTAGGCTTTATTGGTATTGGTATTGAATCAGGTACCTTTAATCTTATTTTAGGTTAAAAATCCCACCAGAAAAACTTCCACTAACATTACACAATCATTCTACAGGACCAAAAGTGTAATTTTGATAATATTTATTGTAATAGCTAGTTAAAAAAACATACCTCTTTATATGTGTCGGCATTTTTATTTTGTATGACAGCATTAATAAGCAGCAATGTCACTTTCTCCAAATTATCATTTTCGTTTACCTTTAAAATTAGTCTTGACAATAGAATATATTTTAAAATTTTAATTTTTTTGTGATCAGTATACCCCATCAAATTATCTGAACTATGTGGGGATGTTTGTAAGCATAAGATTTGTACTACTAAGTTGATATTTAGAGAAGACTTACAGAGGCATAGTGTTAATATTGCAATGTCGAGAAATATTGACATACAATCATCATCCAGGAGTAAGACATGTTGATGTTTCTTAAGTAACCTTTTTAAAGTTTCCCACATTTTTTGAGATTGGGCTATGTCAAAAAAAGATGTATCTGTGTTATGCTTTTTATATTTCATAGCTACTTTTTGCATTATTTTTAATGCAGCATGATATTTCATCAAATTGAAAGAAATTACACAGGCATCTGAGTCCAAGTCTTCACTAAGCTCCAAGCAATGTATTACAGTAAGTACTTGTTTATAATACCAATTTTCTTTTAATTTATTATTATCACATTTCTCTCCCACATTTATATGTCGGAATATTTGATTGCAATAACATTGTGCTACCATATCAATTTCACTGGGGTTTTTCTTTTCTATTTCCAATATATCTTTAGGAAATTGAACCCTATCACTGAGTGATAAGCAATATAATTTTAGGTCTTTATTGAATAGTGGGTTTAATCTTCTTTTCAAAATGGTATTGCATATAGTTAAGAGTGATTCCATGTGTTGATTTTCTAGATGGTTTGTACAAGTTGTCATAAATTTTAGCAAAATTGTGTTAATTTTTTCAATATTGTCTGTACTAATATTATATTTCTCAATTAACATATCCAAAGATTGCACCATCCATTGTACACTACATACCAGTTTTTTAAATATAATAGGAAAATTACTTTGAAAATGTATCCCTCCTACACTATTAGTAGTTCTAATTAAATTTATAAAGAAATTCAGTGAACATAATTTCATTTCCATACTATAATTGTTTAACATGAACAATACTTCATCAAACAACTTATTTAGTTCACTAAAATTTTTATCTATATGCAATAAATTGGGAGGTATACATTCTGATAATAACTGTAATACAATATCAATCAAAAAAGTGCACATATTAATGCTTTTAACTTTCACACTTATTGGTTCCAAATTTAATTGTACATTTGGGATCACTATTTGTTCTGGTTCAAAGTTATTTATGTTAAGTTCTTGAGCAGTGGGACTGCTTGAATTTTCTTTATAATATTTTATTAACTCATATAGAATAACATAGTACTGTGAAATTAGTTTTTCATAAAAAGAAGCCCCATTAACACACAGGATATTTAAAATTTTTACTTGGGCATCTTTACTTGCAATGTGTATTCTGAAAAAAAGTTTATTACATATGTGAAAAGGTTAAAGTTTTTCTTTAAGCACTACTTCATCTCATATGTTGCACAAAATCATATCATCATAAATATACCCTTTATCTTCCACGCGAACATAGCATATACCAAGTTATGCCACAAACACTCCTGACAAACTTCACCTATTGACTTCCTGCTTCTTGCCAGTATACTCCTTGGGATTTACACTCCGCTAACCAGTATGGGGCTGCCATCCTGGAACCTTTTTTAACAGTTGACAGTTTGTTAAACAATATGACCGGCCCATTACTACTTAAGCTTGCTAATCCTCTGGGCTATTTTGGTGTGGATCCTATAGGGGTTTTTAGATTAAATAGGTAATTAGAAAAGTGGAAAAGAATAGCAACAAAGCGGACCTTAGCTCATTAATAACATTATCAATAAGTAAAATTAAAATTGTAGTAGTATGACTGACTCCTTTTGCTTTTAGGAGTCAGTATCGATAGGTACTACACTCTTATGTTTCATATTTCTTTCGGAAGCAACAATGGATCTGATTGCAATTTCTTTTTGTTGGTTGTTTTTTGGCTGTTCAAAGTGCTACAGTGACCACTTACCATTAAGTGAACAGTATTGTAAATACATTTGACAATATAATATTTTGTAACATTAAATTACCATACTTATTCAACTTACTTGTTTAACTCCTTTACCGAACATACATAAAATAATCTCCCTAGTAGCCATGCATTAAAGGCACAGTAATAAGAATCTGGACATTTTGTAGAACCTGGTCTTGGAACTAAGACTTCTGAAGAGTCTCTAAAAGAAATTTGTTTTATGTTATTTAATATATGACATCTAACCAAACCCTGTGGTTCCTGTTAAGTGCATTACCAGAATCAATATTGAAATGTATAGAAATGACTTTAGAAAACTTGATCATATTTTTTTTTTTTTAATTTAGATTTAAATAAACTTTAAGTTGCAAATAGCAAATGGCCAGGGAGTAAGAGTATAGTCAAAGACACTGCTTTACATGCACATAAAATATGCCAATGAAATTCTATTTAAATTTAATTTAGTCTTTTATGGTTGAATTATTTCACTATAAATTTGAATACTGATTCTGATAACACACTTAGCACAAACCACATGGTTTATGTTACATGTTGTATAAGATCAATATAATATATCATTATCATCTAAGATACACAAATGTTCTAATCTAGGCTAATTTAATAAATTTAGTAAATTATATTAATAATTAGAGATGGGCCGAATATTTGGCATATTCGGCAGCTTTACCGAATAATCGTATTCGGCCGAATATTCGGCAAAATCACTGAATATTCGTTTTCATAGTGTCCAATGTATTTTAATGTACGAATTGAGTAATGCGAAGTCTTTTACTGTTGAAAGTATATTTTATTTATGGGTTAAATCTACTTACTCTAGATTTTTGAGGCACTGTAAATTTATTTCTGATTATAGCAAATAGAAAGTTGAAAAAAATTTTTTGGAATCAAACAAAGAAACATTACATTTCATTAGTACATATCACTTTACTTCGGTCGTCAGTTTCTCTAAAATAAGTCCCAATAGGAAATCTCCTGCTGCTGTTCTTTTTTATCATATAATTATCAACATTTTTATCATATAAACATCAACATAAATTGGTTGGGTCCCGAGGCTATTCTGCCGAATAATGTTCGGCCGAATATTTGGTTCGGTAAGTTTTACTGAACATACGGCCGAATATTCGTATTCGGTGAAATCCTTATTCGGCCCATCCCTATTAATAATATAAACAGGACAGCATCCTATTCATATTTTGAACATAAGCCTTCTTAAAGATTTTTGGTTTTAAAGGACTTTAATTTCCTAGTAAAGCAAAATTATTTACAAAAACACTCAAATCCTTCTACAGATGAGAAACAACAGTTTGTGAAACACCAGTAGAGTTAAGAAAACTATGAATGAACAAAAGCAGAACTTCTCCAGGAAATAAAGCAAGAAAAGCAGTTGAGTAAAGATAATAAAACTGTAATACTGGTTTACTGGCAAATACTTCAAGGAGCTTGGCTGGCTGAAATGGCATTAATTCTTGCCCACACAAAATATTACCACCACTTAGTCTTGGAGTTATGGAAACAAGCCTATATAACACTAACACAAGTAATTGAGTATTTTTGAACTTTTGACTTTGTGTACCACACTAGCACTAGCTCCAGCCATAGTAACTCACTAGTTAAGCACTTATCATAATTTTCACAACTTGCGGGCAGCTTAGGTTCAATCTCAAATAGCTACAATAAAATTGTTAAATATAATTTTAGTGTTGATTTACCACATGCCCAACAGTAAAAGAAAACATCATCAGATGACTATTTTTTCCATAGCTCTCTCAGAAATAAGATTCTCAGCTTGGGGACAAGCTGAGAATCTTATTTCTCAAAAAAAAAGCCGGAAAAGACTCAATTTATGTTATAATTTAACTTACCCTGAAAGTTTTAATATTGATGTCAATAGTCTATCAAGTCCATCTGCTGCATGTTCCAAGTTACTGAATAACACCATTGTAGGTGCATTAAACATTTGCCAAACGGTAAATGGCCCATCATAATTTTCCTCATCCATATTTTTATTTATTTACTAATATCTTACCTGCTCAATAAATATTGAGTATACTAACGAAAGAGTATTAAAGCGGATTTCAAATAAAATGACCATAGGAACACTGCGCTGTCCACATACTTTTTCAAAAGTTTACTCATAAGGGAATCAAGTTTATTGTTTTTGTCGGTAAAAATATAGAAAGGAAACTTATTATAAAGATTACTTTGAAATTTAAAAAAAAAACTAAATAAAGCTGCAAAATAAAATATTGCCATAAAGAAAACACTGTTAGAAATTAACACATCGATGTTGCCACATGTCGAACATCGATGTCAATGAACCAATAATCGATTAATAAGAACTTGTGAACAATGCGAACCCGCAAAATCAATATCAACGAAATATTTAATCTCTTATTAAAGGTTTTAAATTTTGAATAATTCAGGATTCCTAAACGCATCGATCAACTAAAAAAATATCATTATGATGGGTCAAATCAAACTCACTGTCAAGTGTAAATTGCAATTTCACAGTTGTCACTGCTTTCGCTTTGTTATTCTGCGGTGTCGTTGTCGGTTGTCCCCTTATAACCTAGATCTCTGCTAATAACTATTCTCATAAACTTATATTCAAATTAATTGTTTTTTCCCTTGCTATACCCACATAATTATGAAACAACAAATATCTACACAATTCAATATTATTTAGCTGTATTTTTGAGCTTTGATAACGAGTTTATTGTTTGGTTGAAGTTTATGAAAATAAACACTGGGCGATCATGAGCTTAGACAATTTCACTGCATAGTGCATTCGACTATGCATTTTATAAACGGCTGTGGATATTTACTGCATGGACTGCCTGATATGTGTATAAAAGTAACGGAAAAGTTTAGTTTTTGTGATGTTTGTTGGTTTTTTTTTCTATAATCACATTTTATATTTCGCGATAGGAGTATTTGATATTAAAGCTTCATCTAAATCGTAAATTGGGTCCCATAGTATTTTTTCGTACCGGATTTATGAAGTTATAGGATAGAAACATTTAAAAATCAAAATAACTACATTAATCATCATCGGCAAAAAATATAACAAATTAACTAGATATTTGTTAACTTTCTCCCATTTTTTAAATTACTGTTTGACTCTAAATTTTTGATTAATTTCTTTTATTTCATTAATAATAAACCATAAACAACATTACAAATTCTTATTCACCTAATTCTAACCAGAGTTGCCGTTTCGCGCTAGATCTAGTGCAATTCTAGGGTATATAGCGCTTTTTTTTTTAATATCTACGTGCTAAAAATATCTATTCTACTAGTATACTATATACTTTTAGCACTTAGATATTTAAACAAAAAGCGCTACAGACCCTAGAAATTGCATCAGATATAGCGCCAAATGCACTGAAACATCAACACTGATTTTAACCTATTAAATAGGTACATGTGTAATAACGTCGATAATCGTCAACATCGATGTTTAGAGTAGGATAAACATCGAATATCGTTGTAAAGCTATCGATGTCTTCATCGATGTTTCTGCAACATCTTTCATCACTAAACGAAACCATTAATCATAGACAAATAGATATGTAGCAAGGTAGGTACATTAATTTTAACATTTCCACCCTATACCTTGCTAACAAAAAGATATAATTTAGACAAATTTTTGTTAAAACAGTTCATATATTTGACAGTTATATTGAAAACTATATTCAAGAGTACAAAAGTAATGCATGTTTTAGAGTTTGGTGAAAGAAATAAAACAGATAATTCATTGTAATTGTTGTCCCCAAAAACAAGATTGGCGGAAATTTCTTTTACGTAACGCAAGTAACAGATACTTACAAAGTTAAAATATATTAAATATGTAGATTTTTCGTACTGCTGGTAACATTTTTAAAGTAAACGTCAAACAAAGTTTGAACCTTGGTTTGACCCATGGAGGTTAGAGAACAGGTGTATAGTTCATAAAAGATAGCTTGATCTCTGCAACAGCTGTCAGTAAAATCACGCCTATGAAGACCTGAATTTCTTAGTAGTACAGACAGTACCTGTCTATGTCTTACTTTATGGGCATACCGACCTAATTAGTGCATGCCCATAAAGTATGATATTGACAGGTACTGTCTGTACTACTATGAAATTCAGGACTTCATAGGCGTGATTTTTACTGACAGCTGTCGCAGAGATCAAGCTATCTTTTATGAACCATAGTAAATCGTAGACAGAGAAACCTATAGACAAATTGACGCCTTCTTTCGCATTCGCACACGATAAAGATAGATTTATGCATACGTCTTGCATAGAAATGAGACAGAGCGGTGTGATTGTTTGCCCCTTTCTCCGTGTCAGTTTTTTGTTTAGCAAACTACACTTTGCTAAAGAACTTTGACAGTTCGTAGCGATCTAATGAGTTTACAACATAACATAAACACTCACGCCTGTCACCCAGAGGGGTAGGCAGAGACTACGGACTTCCATTTGGCACGATCCTGACATACCTCTTTCGCCTCCTTTACATCCATGTATCTACGCATACATGCTCGTCGATTAAGGGTACTTCTAACGTGGCCCCTTTTCAAAATATCGCCAATTTGGTCGATAAACTTTTTTCCAGGGCGTCCCTTCCCGACTCGGCCGTTCACATCTGCCATATAAATTTGCTTTGCCATATAAAGTTGTCGCCGGTTTAAGTGTGCTGCTAAACTGATCAGTAGCTCTAAAATCTAAAATAATTTTATTTAGTAAATATAACCTCGAAAAAATCGTCTATCCCACTAATATTTTTCGGTGCGTTCTTTAAAATTTACCCTGTAGCTATAGTGGCGGCACCCTTATTTAAAGGTTTTTATGGACACTTTTAAATTGCAGTCTGTACTCCTTACTTCTGCACTCCATACTATGAAAATTCGTATTTTTTAGATAAATTCTTTATTAACTGGCTTTACGGTTCTGGTTTCTAGACCTTCTGAGCCTATCCTTTCTTTGGGAATCTTCATTTTATATTCTTTTTCTTCACAATATGCTGATGCGTCACATTGCGAAGCCCTTGGGAGATTTCGACGACAGCGCAACCTAGCGGACAGTTGATGACGTCAGCAAAACAAGTTCATAAGGCGCCCAAGCAATCAAAATAACTTGAGGTTTATATCGACATCAAAGCATTTGTTTCGTCATTTTCTCTAATAGTTCACACGCGCGGACACTTAATTCACAAAATCGCATCACTTTTACGAATCAAAATCCACTTCAAACCATTACTCAAACGACAAAACAGGAGCGACATCAACCTACGGCCAAGTTTCCGCCAAAACTCTTTTTAGATAAACTGTCATATAGATCATAGAGTATAGAGGTAAGGTGGACAATTTCCCATAGGAGAATAGTTTAAAATGTGTCCATCCGTAACCAGTAAATAACAGTTCAAAAACTCTCCACGACAGCGCTCAAGTAGCTACAGGGTATGATAAACCGCCGTACGTTCAGAGTGATTTTGAAAATAAAAATTTTGAAAGTAATAAAATATTGATTAAAACATGTTGTATGTATTTTATCACGTTTAATTTTAATTATTTTTAATTCCTGACATTTCGGGTGCTTTTCAGCACTCATGGACATAGGGATTGAGATGACTGACATCCCGATATCATTGTTAAGCCCAGAGTACCTACGCAAATATATTCATGGAAGACTTTGAGTAGAAAGCCCTCCTTAATGCACCTGTTACACCATTGATCTACAAGGTACGTAGACGTTACTTTCACAATTTTACTATCAGACAAGGTAATGATTTCTTAAATTTACGCGAACACTACACATTGAATAAAACTATTATTTACGGATTTTATCGCGTTTTAATTACAACTTTAATTTATTTTTATTATCCCGGCGTTTCGGGTGCTTTACAGCACAGGGGTATTTACTTTTTAGTCACGGGGGGGGGGGACTGAGATGTTTGACGTCCCAATGTCATAGTTAGTCCGGGTACCTTCAGTTTTTTGAATATTAAATTTTGGTTCGATTTACGCAAAACGAGCTTATAGTATCATGAAGTCTTGCAGTGGTATGCTTGGGTTTGGGTTTAATTTTCTTAAATATAGGATCCCAAGCAGATGGCAGCACCCATCCATCTTCTCTATTGAAATTTGGAAGTTTTTTAATTTCAATAGCCTTGCTTATCATCCTTGGTAGGAATCGGTTTTCTTTTGCGAGGATTTGTGGTTCATCAAATCTAATGTAATGGTGGGGACGACCTTGAACATGTTCGCAGACTGCAGACTTCCCGGAGCGTCGGTGCTTCACGTCAGCTATATGTTCCTTCACGCGGGTTTTTATCGATCTTTTTGTTTGACCTATGTAAGAGAGACCACATTCACAATCTAGCTTGTAAATACACCTGCATCGTGTAGAGGAATGTTTTACATTTGATGGATGGTAAAAATTTACTTATCTTCTCGGCGGCTTGTAGTATGTTTAAATGGACACTCGCTTCAAGATGTAGCCAATCTTGTCCGTGACTCCTCTTTTTTTTCTTTTCATTCATACATTTCAGAATCGATCTAGTGGATCGATATTTCACCCTATAGAATTGAGATCGAATCTTTTTCTGTTTTATTAAGAACTATAAAATTATTTACAGTTAGTTGAATGTACCCGAACTCGTAAAGAATGTCAGTTTTTCAATTCAATCATTCAATTTTATCTGTACTTTATTGTATCTTTTGATATTGTAAATATAAACTCTTAACGCAAATCAAAAAAGATCGATTTTTGCGAAAGCGATCTCTAAGACTTCGATTTTTTGTGAATCGATTTATCGAATTTCGTTTTGAATCGATTGAAAAATGTGTAAAATTAATAGCTATGAAATGAATGATAGTTCGGCCATAATGTTGACAGTGACAGACATACTTTACGTCATGACGTTGCTTCCGAGTTTCAGAATTTTGGTGAATAATGGAATCTAGTATATAGTCATCTATGAGTGAAATATTTGTGGCGGCGGAATACTCCTAAATATAACAAAGATCAATATAAAAATCAAAATAAGT